CTTACCAAGAAAGATGAAGAATTCTCTTGGACCCCAGAATGTGAGGAAGCTTTTAACAAGCTGAAATGTATCTTTACCTCATCCCCAATCCTACAAATACCTGACAAAAGCTCCCCATTCACCATCACTACTGATGCCTCTCTATACGCCACTGGCACAGTACTTCTTCAGAAAAATGACAACAGAGATTGGCTCCCTTGTTCTTTCTTATCTCAATCCTTTAATCCTGCTGAACGTAATTATCAGATCTATGACTGAGAACTACTTGCGATTGTCCGGGCTTTGAAAGCCTGGTGACATTATCTCCTTGGATCTCCCTTTCCTGTCCTCATACAAACTGACCACAAAAACCTTACTTATTTCAGAGACATACAAGACCTAAACCAATGCCAAGCAAGATGGCAAACCTTCCTTTCCAAATTTGAACTCCTGATCCAACACATACCAGGAAAAGAACTCATTATCCCAGACTTACTTTCTCATAGAACAGATCACCTTCCTGACAATAGTGTCAAAAAGGACAATATTAGTATTCAACTCCTTCCTGACTCATTATTTCTGAACATCATTGACACAATGTTCACTGACAGATTACATATTTCCTTGGCTAATGACCCTGTAGTTCATACAGCGCTTCAAGCACTTACAGACTCTTCAATTCCACCTCCCCTCCATTCTGCTCTTTCCAATTGGAAATTGAGCAATGGAATTCTTACTTACATACCCCCTGGAGATCTCTGACAAGAACTTACCTCCCTCCATCATGATCCCCCTACCACCAGCCACCCTGGATGTTATAAAACCCAGGAACTCCTATCTCACAACTACTGGTGGCCTGGACTAGCCACTTTTGTCAAGAACTTCATAGACAGCTGTTGCATCTGCCAACAGAATAAAGTAAACATGCACCTGTCTACTCCTCCCTTATCTCCTATTCCTGCTCCCATCTCCAACCGACCCTTTGCCCACTGCTCAGTGGATCTCATTACCAACTTACCCCTCTCTGATGGCTTCAACTCTATCATGGTCATGGTTGACCACAGACTTTTGAAGGGGGTAGTTTTCACTCCTTGCCTCAAGACTATTGACACTGAAGGTGTTGTGAACATTTTCTTTTCTAAAGTTTTCTCTAGGTGTGGACTATATGATAAGATTATCTCTGACTGTGGACCCCAGTTCACTTCCTGATTCCAGATTGAACTTGGAAAACTCCTCAGATACAAGAATTCCCTTTCCACCACCTTTCATCCTCAGAGTGATGGAGAGACTGAACAAGTTAATCAAGAACTCAAAGTCTATCTTTGGATCTTCTGTGCCAATGACCAAATGGGTTGGGTGCCCATGTTACCACTTGCTGAGTTCATTCATAACTCACACTATCACTCCGCTCATGGCATATCTCCATTTTACCTCATGATGGGTTATCATCCACATCACCTTCCTGATCTTTATCTGAAATCCGACATCCCTAATATAGAACAATGACTCACCATCCTTAATAAAGCATGTGACGAAGTGCTAGCCGCTCATGAACTTGCACGCAACACTATGTGTCAACAAATCACATCTAAATTTGTACCATTCTCTAAAGGCGATAAAGTTTGTCTCGAAGCCAAGAACTTACACCTCAGATACCCTAATCAGAAACTCGCTCCTAAATGCGAAGGACCATTCACCATCATTGACATATCATCCCCTATAACTTATCGACTTGCCCTACCTGCACAATGGTGCATTCACCCCATCTTCCATGCAGCGCTCCTTTCTCCTTATAAAGAGAATGATACCCATGGCCCTAATTATATTCCACCACCCCCTGACCTTATTGATGATGAAGAAGAAGATGAAGTGGAAGCCATCATCAGACACCAAGGCTCATCTTCTAGATGCCAGTATTATGTTACATAAATGGAAGGGATTCCTGAGTTCCAAGAACAAATGGATGAAGGAAGCTGAACTAGGTAACACTTCTGAACTTCTCACTAATTATAAATGATCATATCGTCTTCTTTGATAGTAGTCAGTGCCTACTACCCTTACAATGGGGATAATGTTACAGTTCCTCTTTTTTTCCTTTCACCTCTTCACTTATTCACATCACTAATCATTCTCAGACATTCCATCATATTCTATCATATGATTCCATTTTCTATTTTCTGATTCGCTATTTACTTTTGATCTCCAATTCATTTATTAAAGCTCTGCTTTAATCCCTTTATATATACTCTATCTCTTATGCTTGTACTCTTTAACTTGACCTATGCAGACCAGGGCCTGCAATATACTGCTTAACTTGCATGACTCATGAATAGGTTCACACTTTAGATCATTTGTTTCCATCTAGTTGTTCTTATGAATGCCGAGTGTAACACTTTGCATAGTACTGATTATTGAACTTGACTAGACAGCAGATCCCTCAGGTCAAACATTCTTGCTTGCAAGTGTAGTAGCTAGGCAGGACTACTAGACATATGTATATTGGCTAGGTATTCTAACAACTATCTAGCCAAGTTGTGTTATCCACAGTGGGTAACAAGTGAGGGCAAGGGTATTGATTGCATGGGTAAGGAAAGTCAAGACAAGGTGTCCAGGTATAAGGTAACCAGTAGGGGCTAAAAAGTGCCCACTAATGGTGACTGCTTCTAAGTAAAACCTAAGGGAAGGAAATACTGTAGAAGGGAAGTAAATACAAAGTAGTTACCCTAGGCACTTTATACTAGCTAAGCCCTCTCGGAAATGGAAGGAACAGGACAGACAGGCAGTAAGAATACATAAAGACATGTAATAAGACTGCAACACTTGTTATAATACACAAGGCAAGGCAAAATATGTACTGATGAGGTATGATGGACAATGGACTGATGCAGGACATCTGTAAGGTAATCTGAAGGCGTGGAAAATTGACCGCAGGTACCTGCGCAGCATGGGAGTGAATGTGCAGGTCCACAGAGTGCAGGAATGCACATCTGGAGTGGGTTGAATGTGGGAAAAGCGGTTGATGCAGAGTGGTCATGTATTGATGCACCTTTCCATCACCTATATCAAAAGATGGCCATTGCAAGCCTAGCGGGAATATGATCATCACAGTGGGCAAAAATTGACCAGTATTAGTATCACAAGTGCAGGATGAATACTAGAGGATACATGTGAGCACAGCAAATGCCAGATACCAGTGCAGTAGATGTAACATGCTCAATAGAGCAGCTGGACGCAAGAGAAATAGCACAAGAGAAGGACTGCACTAAGTTACTGGTCATGGGTCAGGCATTCTTGCAAGAGCCTAAGTATAAGGTCCTAGTGGTACAGAACTTCAGAGTGGTTGAATTACACAAGATTGTCAAGTATGAGCAAACAGAATGAATTGCACAAGGTCTAAAAATTAATGTAAGAGCAACTCTCCCATAGAGCTGAGTCCAGGGGAAAGGAAACTACTCAATTGTATGTACTGTGGTCGTTTTATCATAGCACATGAATGTCCAGAATGTGTAGGCAAGAATTGTAGCATAGTAAGTGAGTGCATGACAAGTCTATAGGTAATAAAACATCATGCACTGTGGAACATGAGTAACATGTAATAAGACCTGCAGCTCATTTAGCAATGATATTTGGGAAAAATAATGCACCAGTGGAGATAGGTGGACATGGATAGGACATGGGAGGATGGATTCCTAGGACCAGACCAAAGCTAAATGGGAGTGTGGGTCTTGGGAGGAGTGCATGCCTATAGTCAAAGGAGCATACTAAAAGTGAATGAGTTGATATATATGGATTTCATGATCAGCACTTTATCTCCTTTCCTGGGAGTGAGAAGAACCATGCTAGTGATCATATGTGCCTAGCACCAGTATGATTGTCACAATGGTTTCAAAAGAACAACAAAGACAGATGGCTAGAGTAAGCTTGAATGTTAGAACATCTAGCCTGAGAGCTGACCTCGATTTTTGATGTTCAACAGGATGATCCCATTCATCTCTGGATCCCTGAATGTCAAACTTATCTTGATGAATTCATTCACTTGGAAGGGCAAGATGATGCACATCACTCATGCTATAGCTATGGCAATTCAAATGCAGTATTTCATTGTGACAACTGCTTTTCTGTTGATCTATACTGCCAGTCATGTCTTATGAACCTCCACCAGAACATGCCTCTGCATCAGCTTAAGGTATGATTTTATGGATATCAAGCATGCTTGCTACTAATGCCATTGATTCAGAAATGGCATGAAGGGTATTTCCATCCCACAACCTTGAAGCAACTGGGGCTGCACATCCAGCTGGGCCACAGTGCTGGTCAGAGCTGCTGCAATCCAAAATCAGCCTTTGACAATGACTTTACTGTCATAGATGTTCACAGAATCAATGAAGTTGCTCTCAACTTCTGTAACTGTGAGCACATGTCCTCACATTATAAATAAATCCTGTGCTGTAGAGAATGAGACCTTCCCAGGCATAGATCATGCATATTTCAACTCACAATGATTGGTACACTGCATGACTCACTATCTATGACTATCCTATGAAATGCACCAGAGGTGCAATGCATTCCCACACTATGTGATGCATTCCGCACATGTGCTCAGTTGCCCTTTGTCGTGCAGTGTCCTGGAGCCTTCATCCATCATCTAACCAGTCCCCTGGTGCATCCCTTTCCATTTATTTTCATTATCAGACCATTTCTGGCATCATACAATATATTATTCCATCACGGACCCTTACATTACATCACTTACATACATAGAGCACTCCCTGTTTGCTTCCAGGCCCAGGGAGCATGCCTAGGAAGTTTTTCATAAAAGCAACCACCATCATGTCAGTCATTGTCTAGAGTCAGAATCTATTATCATGAGTTAGCATCTATCAGAGTCATCACCCTAGTCCTCAGCAAGTCTATCATTATCAGCCTCCACTCAGCAGCCTCAGTTCATGTCCTCATGACTTCTACCAGTTTCATATACATCCACACATCACACATGCCTTATTCCCACACTTTGTGCTCCTATGCACTCCACATTCTTGCGCATGCACTCATTGCACTTCACCAGAGTTGACCTGGCATCATTTCATGGATATTTGCTTTCTTTGCTTCCCTTAATGTCAAACACATCACTTGATGCACTTTGACCAACATATAGAGAGTTAGTGGCCTTTCTCTCATCACAGAGTGAGAGCCATCTTTCTTTCTTTAGCTCTGCAAGCCAGCAGAGTAGTTGAACCTTCAGTGCACTCACTGGTTTCCAGCAACATCCATGGACCCATGAACTGCTGCTACATTCACCATTCTTGAACACTTCCACCTGCTCTCATTTGAGTCCAAAGTATCTGCATTTGAGTTTTACCACTGCATTGCATGTTGGAGTGACAACACAGGTGTCAAGCCTATCAAGGTGATTTGTATTTTGTGACTATTGTCCCAATTAATTTACCTCAGATCATTCATAGGATCAATATTCTGTCTTTTTGCAAATGATGATGGAGTGGCACAACCTCAAGGCACTCAAATGAGGTTGTGGGCATGATCCAGCTGGAGTTGATGCTACTCAAGAAGGAGAACTTGTTGTTCTGTGCCCTGCTTGCCCTCACCCTGGCAAGAATATGGCTGAGACATTAGAGGATGTCTCACCAGGAAACCAGTAAGATTTTACTATCTCCCTATTTTCAGTGGTGATCTGACATATTCTACATAGATGGATCTACTCACTATTTCTAGCTATTGATGCCAACTTTCACCTGAAATGCCATCTGGTATCCAGTAATGACAGGGACCCTGGATTGAGCCAAGGATGGGGTTACTTTGTTGAAGAAAGGAACTACAAGGCATACCTTCAAGAGAATGCAACTCTGACACAAGAGGTGAGTTGAATAATTGTTGCATACAGCCATCGCTGATTTGAATGTGTAAGAAAAGTACCTGTGTTAGTCATAATGCCATCAGTATGGCTGATACAAAAGCTTCCAAGGGACTTGTGGCAACAGGTATTGGCACTGTGGTTTGTGCAAGGCATGACATGCAGTTAGCAAATGGTGTCAGGGATCTACAGAAAGGTGAAAAGTGAGTACTCATGACACTGGAAGATCACTATCAGTTTTGATTTCACTTGGGCAGATACTTGAATATGGACTATATTGTCTTCTCCACGCTTTCATGCTTTTCATCAATCCCATCCATCAATTTCTCCTGCAACATTGCATGTCAGTGGCACAAAAACTTTGGCATCAAGTGTTGACTACTCTTCCCTTACAGCCTCATCCCAGTAGCATCCAACAATACAGGTTTTTTGTTCCGAAATTCCATCTTGCAGCACATATTGCAGCCAGTCAAGCAGTTTTTTTGTTCAATTGGTCTCCTCATGTTGGAAGAACTGACAGGGAAGCACCAGAGCGTGGTTGGGCTGACATTAATCATGTTGCTGCAAGCATGAAGGAAATGGCACCTGGCATGTGTCAAGATGTCTTAGATGACCATTTTGGGGATTGGAACTGGAAAAAAGTAACAGGGCTTGGTAAGTCTTGAGTTTCAAACATTTATTCAGCTAATTGATAACTTCACAAGGTCAAACACTTCTACATAAAATAACTGATGCTGTCTACACTGAATGGGACCATCACCATGCCTTGGTGGACTTGGAGGGATCCATTGAAGGGTCAGAGTTGGGTGCTGCATCACTTGTGGCTTGGACAGAAGAGGTTGATGCTTGAGAGAGTGATCATATGAAGCCAAACCCTTTCAACCATCAAAGTTGAGGTAAGATCTAAATTTCAGAGTGTGATTACCATCTGATTGAAATACCTGAAATGACCCAAGCTGCTGTTTGTTTAGTGCTTGTCCAACAAGATGCAAAGGATTTGGAAGAGGGATCATTGATTTCCCTCCATTCAGAGGTGACACCTAGTATTCTCATTATGGTGCAGTTCACTTATGTGCCACTATGTTTGTGCAATTTTTCTGCCATTGCAAGAACAAGTCCCAGGAACTTTCTGTCTTGTAAAAATGCTTAGATTAATGATAGGAGCATATTGTCAAGAGCAATTTTGCATAGCATTAAATTTGAGCAAGATAAATTTTCAGACATGACCCAAATTGGTGGTGAGGGCTAAGGTACCAGTAAAATTAGTTGAAAAGACATGCTACAGTCTCCAGAACATGTCTATGAGATTTGTACTTCCTTGAGCTGAACTCCTTGACCTGCAACTGTGCTGTTTTCATCTCCAGACCCAACTGGTAAGCACTCATCCATCTGTGCATCTGATGTTCCCATAAATGGATTGTATTGAGACATATGGAAGCCATAGCCTTCAGCAAGTTGGTCTTGAGTGTTTCAAAGGTGTAATCACAGTTCTCGTGCAGATACCTCTTTACTGCCCCCCAAAAAACTCAATAAAATTGAGCTTGCAGTGGTATTTTGGCAAGAAGATGCACAAGTGACCAGCAGCCTCAATGACATCTTGCACAAGTGGTTTCTGCTCAACAAAATCTGGTTGAAGTTTGAGAATTTGCTTGAAGCAGCAGTTCATTGCCTTGTCAGGACACTTTGATTGGCACCTGCCTCGATGTCTCCCCTGCAAAAGACTACATTCCTGGAGAACAGCCTTGATGCCCTTTAGTTCGTTTGGGTGATCATGGTGATCAGAGGGAAACATCATGGGCTGAATAACTTTTTGCCCACCAGCATCAATGAACCAACCATCTTTCATCTGTGCCTGCTTGCCCCCCAGATTTACATTCATGCACAAGATCAGCAACACATCATCTGCATATGCTGAGTGTCCCTGAGAATTATTGATGAGGAACAACGCCTGGTAACCAGGTCCATGAGCACATTCAAATGCTGGAATAATTTTGTCACAGAGCTTCCCCTGTTTTCAGTTTTGTGCACAATATCTGAACAACAACACCCACCTGTGCAACAAACATTTCCCCATTCCAGTATCCCTCATAATTTTTGCCATACTCGATGGTGTGTGCTGCTTCCTCAAGATGTCCAACAGTCAAGCAAATGATACTACTCTGATGCAATCCTCGACCTGCTCCTTTCTTTCTCAGCTTGTGCTCACCATCTGGCACCCAGCTCATTGACTGTCCATCATTTGCTTGAGTTATCATCTTGTCATGCACACAAATGACCAGCTGTGTTTTGACAAAATTGGAAGGAGGGATATCAGACTCCTTCTCAACATCTCCAATAACATAATGAACAAGCCAATGTTCATGTTCCTTCATTGCAGGAAGAAAGACATTTTGGTGATATTCAACAACATCTGGTCGATCGTGGCCATCAAAATACAGCCCTTTCTTGTATGCCATGAACCAAAATCCTTCAAGACAGAGCCAGCGACGGGCTGTGCTCAATGATACCCCACACCAAACCTTCATGTGAATGTGAGGAAAGGGCTCAAGCTCAATGTATCTCTTCAGCCCCTGGGGCATTTCAGTCTGCACAAGCCCCTTGAGATATTTTGTTGCTTCAGTATGGAGAAGTTCATTATTCATGAATTTCACCAGCTTCTGGGGATCCATTGACCATTTGTTTGAGTGCATGAATGTGCAGAGCTCAGATGCGATTGCAGGGTCATCAAGAAGTGATGAAATCTTGGCATGCCATCCCCATTGTGAAACTGGAAGCATTCTTGTTTGCATCCACTCATGAGTCCACCCATGAACCTGGTGTCCTCCCCACTTTGCAGCAAACCCATTGGTCTCTGCAGCCATTTCTGAGGCCACCTTGAAACTATGCTTGTTCTTGACTACAAGCATCAAGTGAACCTCAATAGTACATGCATGATGTGCCTATAAACCATGTGGACCCCCAACAAACACTGTCTTCTTCAACTTCAAATGCTTTGTGATATCTTTGTATGCGTGCTCCAGCTCAGCTTGCTTTTGTTTTCACTGCTCATGATATGGAACCTTGAGTTTCTGGCATTTCCAAGGTAGTGCCAAGGAAACACAACTGGTGCCATCATGATCGTCACTGTGATCCATGTTGGTGTTGCTACCCCCATCATCTTCATCACTCGAGAAATTGGAAAGGAAGCCCAGCAAGCTTGGAACATATTGTGTGTTTCCATGCACTAGTGCTATTCTCTTTTGCACTGGCTTTTGTGCAGCACCTTTTTGTGTAAATGCACCCATCATGCTGATTTGTGAATTGGTACTGAACAGCCACACCAGTAAGCATTCGGATCTGATGGGGTTGTTTACTGAAGAGTTCTGCTCACCTTGTCTTTGCATATTCACGAAAATCCTCTCGGGCATGAGCATTGTGCAGTCAGCACTCCTGCATGCACTTGGAGTGTCCATCATATCCTAATCCTCAGCTTCTCTCAGCTTTCTTCCAGTTCTTGCTCATCTTGGGTCCAGCCACCTTCTGATAAGGTGTGGGTTCTGCCAGTGAGGTAACCTTGTCTCTCAACTGTGCCAAACTACTTTCGAGCTCTTCACCCTCCAGCTCAACAACACTCTCTCCACTATCTGATTCTGACTCCCAATCCATCTCAAATTCTGAGTCACTGTCAAGCTCAGGCAACAAGCAGTGAACACCACCAGTAAACCCACAATCAAAGTTATCGTTGTCATCGTCATCACCATTGCCATTGCCATTGTCATTGTTGGGCTCCTGCACAGTACTATCATTGGCTCTGACAGTAGCAGGATTCACTTGAGTTTGTTGGGCGAGTCTCATGCAAGCAGCTGCCAATTTGTGGTACTTGCAGACCATTGTATAAAGGTTGAAATAATTAACTTTTGCCTGTACATAGTACATTTGTCTATCGTGACTTGCAATCTGACACCTTGTACACTAGCATCAAAGCTGTGGTTGCTGCTACACCTACCATTTTTAGCAATGAGATTGGAGTTGGAAATTTCGGCCCTTGATTTGGTGGTTGCCCCAAAGCAGCAGCACATAAGTGAACTGCACCATAGCACAGGCTTGGACCTTGAGAATGCACAGTGAGTGATGGACTGACTGTTGCAAAATTTCTACTTATTCCTTTGTAGATGATGTTTATGAGCAGATAATGCAGGCCTCACTCAATACTCAACTACTGATCAGCAAATGAAGATTCTGATGCACACCAATGGTCTCCAGTGCTGCATGGATTCATGGATTAACATCCAAGTCCTATACATGCCCTCCATTGCTCACTTCCATACTACTGGTGTCTCTCTATCTGATGAGGATGCTGGTGATGAAGACAGTGGCTGTCCAAAAGCAAAACCCAACTCTATCAAAGCTGAGGATATCCCACTTTTTCTTCCATCTTCCATATGTAATCTTACAACATGCGATGTGAAACTACTTGAGGTTGAGTGGTCATTATGCATGGCACAGGCTAACAATGCACTCAAAGAATGTCATTCTCACATCTGTCTCCACCACCAACTTCTATGCTTCAAGGCACAACAAATTCATGGACAAAGTCTCAACACTCATGCACAAAAATCCATTCAAGCGGTTGAGCATCAGCTTGTCCTTAGTCATGAGAAGTATTCTTGTGCTTGGCAAGTGCTCACTTGTCTGTCAAGGCACCTGGACTGTGTGGGCTGGGAGCACAAGTTGCAGCCATTGAGGAAGTCTGACCTTCAGCCAATGGGGGATCTTGGAGGTCAAATGCAAGGCACAGCAATCATGTCGTGGATTTGGCATGTACATCAGGCTCCTACCCATCCACAACTGGAGAGGTTTGAGGATGGACTGTTATATCGGAAGTGTTGTGTTACATCAGCATTCCCATAGTATAGAACATTTAAACCCAGCCCAACCTTATTTCTCAACCTCTCCAGCAGTGGCTGGAAGAAAACATTTGTAAACAGTCTCAGCCACAGTGGCAAAACCCTTCGGCACTTGAAAAAAATCAAAAATCAAGTAGGTATATGTATATTAATTAAATATATATAGTTATTATTTCAATCTGCCTCAGAGATGTGTCTTGGAGATCAGATAGATGCAATCACAGAATTGTTCAATATCATTGGCATCTCAGTCTCACAATTCCTGAATGAAATACTGTCCAATAATATTTATTCAAACAATGAAATAGTGGTTGATCTCCTGACCAATGGTCATCACATCATGGAGCTTCTTGCAAGGAACTCACAAACAATACAGGAGTGGGTGAGCAACATCATGAGTAATGTACAGTGGCTCAAAAAAGTATCTCAATGTTTGTGACTTTTTGTGTAATTGCTGTACTATGGGCTAGGGTGTGAGAGTATGACTAAGCTATAGGGAGGTGTGGGAAAGCTCTGCTTCTAAGCTTCATGTTTGATCCCTCTAGCGTGAGAAAATTATGTCATCAAGTGAAGATATGGTTAATTTAATTTGGTGACTCATTGAGACACTTTTTTGACTTTCAGTTTGACCAACACAATCTCTATAATTCTGGTACTTGGTGTTTCCTCCTGTTGCTCTAATTACTTCTGCCACTCTTCTATGCATAATATCTATCAATTTGAGGCATTCCTCATCAACAATCTTGCCCCACTCTGCTGCAACTCTCTCCCACAGCTGAAATAACCCCTATTGAGGATCTTGATAGACTGCAAGTGATATCTTGAGTAATTACCAGGGCTGTTTAACAGGGTTGAGGTCTGAGGACTAGACTTGCCATGATAGAACACTGATACCATAGTTTTCAAACCATTTTATGGTCAACTTGATGTATGCTTAGGGTCATTATCTTGTTAGAAGATAATGTTTTCTTCATTAATTCTTGATTCTTGCATGCTTCTGAGCAGATACTTTTCCAAAATTGAAATGCGCTGCTTCACATTCATCCTCCAACCCACCTTACAGAGAATTCCTACTCCATACTCTAGTGTTTTCTTGACCTTGCTTTCTTCTAGTAGTTCTTTTGCATTTTATTACATATATTCTTAGCTATCTGGCCCCATCCTATTGATTTTTGTTTCATCTGACCAGGTAGCCCTATTCAAGCCCTCAACAGTCCAATATTGAGGCTTTAAAGCAAAGGCCAATCTCCTTCCTATATAGGCTGAAGACAGGAAAGACTTTTCTGCCTGTTTACAGCTTTAAGATTGGCTGCCTTAAGAGTACCCCTGACTAATTGAGTGGAGAGAGCAGTGTAGATGATGTCATTAATGAATTTAGTGGCTTGAGTAGCATTGGCAGCCTGCCTAGTTGGAATATTATGAACAAGAGATTTTTTGTTATATGATGTAAGCTTGAAAGGACAATCTAATTTGATATTTTTCTTATCTGGAATGACTTTTTTATGATCCTAATGATAGTAACCCTGCTCAGACCAGTTTTAGTAGCAATCTGCCTGGTATACAGATTGGAAAAGCTAATGATAATAACAATAGGGGCTATTTCAGCTGTGGGAGAGAGTTGCAGCAGAGTGGGGCAAGATTGTTGATGAGGAATGCCTCAAATTGATAGATATTATGCATAGAAGAGTGGCAGAAGTAATTAGAGCAACAGGAGGAAACACCAAGTACCAGAATTATAGAGATTGTGTTGGTCAAACTGAAAGTCAAAAAAGTGTCTCAATGAGTCACCAAATTAAATTAACCATATCTTCACTTGATGACATAATTTTCTCACGCTAGAGGGATCAAACATGAAGCTTAGAAGCAGAGCTTTCCCACACCTCCCTATAGCTTAGTCATACTCTCACACCCTAGCCCATAGTACAGCAATTACACAAAAAGTCACAAACATTGAGACACTTTTTTGAGCCACTGTATATATGCAGGAGATTGTTGATCTGTCAGCAAAGAAACATGGCTCTCATTTTGCTGTGTCACACCTCTGTAGAACAACTAGAGGGATTTAATATGGATCTGCTTGGGAGAGGCATGCAGTGGCTCACACCAACACTGTGGGGTCTGTTTGATAAGCTTCTATTCATGGGGAAGAAGTATGTCGGCATAGCAGTAAGTGCCAAAGGTCCGGAAGATAGTGATGATGAAGATATCTATTGGGAAGTGTTTGGTGATAGGGAATTGGATGGGTTAATGGGAGTTTCAGCCAACACATCAGCGAGACAGGAAAAGATGACAGTGCATCATAATAAGTTGGTGATGATTGTGAGTAGCATTAAATGTGCATGAAAATGGGGGGACTTACTCCTCTACTAGAAAAAGGTTGTTATTTTCAGCATAATCATGCAAACTGCAAATCAAAAATCAAATATGTTTCAAAGCATCTTCAGTATCTTTCTGCAGTCTGCACACACACCTCAAAAGGTAATCAAGATGCTATCATGGATGGGAATCTGTGTCTCCATTGATTCAATCAATACAACCATCTTGTCATTGTCAAAGGAGGCTCACCATGGCATTTCTGCTCTGGGGTGGACACTTCTTGCATCCTATGCATACAATAATTTTGATGTAGACCTTAAATCAACTGTTCATACAGTTGACAAGTCAGAAGACACTCAAACATCTTACTGCTGGCCTCCTTTTTCCGCTATAGCATGGTATTGCTCTCGAGAACTTGTATTGCTCAGAAGCATTGTGGGAAAGATCACTACTCAACCCAGAAGTGGATTCAATGGATGTGACAACCAAGAAAGGATGGAAGGATCTGCTTATCTTACATCCAGACCCCTTAAATGAAGCTAGTCTGTCACAATGAGACCACTTCAACTCCTGGAAGATCCTTTCTGATTTAATTAAGTATGGGCCTACATACTTCCATCAATTCAAGGACCACCTGCATCTGGAGTCAGTAGAAATGATCCCTGTGACCAAGACAAATATTCTGGCCTCACAAGTGATGGATATCAGTAACTCAATGGTATCTGGAGATATCAACTCAGTACTTGAGTTACTGAAGCAGGGAGATATTGAAGATCCAGCAGAATGTGATCCCCTGCAAGGACTAGATGTATCAGAGTATGTAGTGCTATTCCACAGTGACCTTGGAACAGGCAAGTGTCTCCAAGTGGCACTCCAGTGACATGCAATTGAAAGCACACCTTGGAATCACCTCCAGCATGTCATCTTTATTCCAGGTTTATTTCATTTGAAGATGGCAAGTGCAGATGCTATCTGGTGCACCTTCTTGCAGCATTCCTCAGTATGACTAGATAAGAACACTTTGATGCAAGATGTTGGGATTCTTCAACCTAAAGAAACAGGAATTTATGGCTCAAAGCCTGGGTTTTGTAGAATGCACCAGCTCATCACTTACTCTGGTATCTGCTGGCACCTTGATTGTTGGAGAGTTGAGGTAAAAAAATCTGTTCCCTTACATGTGGACTTGGATGCCTTTGCAGCATCAGAGCTGCTATTTGACAATCTACTTGTGATGGCAGATGCAATTGCAAAGGAGTATGTTGCTGATCACAGACTTCAGCGGATGAGATCAAAACATGTTACTCAGTGTGATGGGGAATATGAAAATGCACTGCTCCTCAACAAGTACATGCTACTATATGAGGAACTTTCATATGCAATGAATATTGGGGATATTGGGTGAGTGGAACATGTGCATTATTGCATGGATTCTGATATTCAAGGCAACTGGGAAGCATAAATATGTGACACATGTCAGATTTTCTATCCAATGTTCACTTTGTATACCCAGATGGCTTGTGGTGAGGTTGTGTTTTTTTCAGTCAAAACACAAGCTAATTTAAATTATGGCTTAAGAGAGCTGTTTGATATCATATTCTTGTGAACCCATTGGGAAAAGCAGGCAGCTTCTGAGCCATTGACTGGTGCATGAAATTGAATAACTTGTATACAAAGGTGACTTATTTCTAGTATATACCAGAATACATTGGCTAATCACATCCAGGTTATTCAAAGCGGCAAGGGCCCTAATTGCACCATAGACTGTATAATCATGGAATCCCCCCTTGTCCAGGTTTATCATAACTTACAACAGGTTTTTGAAGAAAGTTTCTTGCATTCACACCTCACAAACCAATATGCTATTGTTGACATGACACAGAAATTTGAAAAGCTCTGTAGGTACATAGCACAGCACTCCCCACATGAACAGTGCTTGGATGAAAAAGCAAACACTCTATTCCTGATCTCTACAGTAAAGGTCTTGAATTAATAGATAACCAATGTTCAGATGGTGGAATAGAAGAGGGGGGGCATTAGAGGATGTAGCAGTAGAGCTGGGATTGTGATAAAGACTTGGGGCAGCATTAGATGAAGATGTGTTGGAACTTGCTTGAGGTATCTGTTATTTTTATGAGCACAAACATCCAGCACAGCCAATTCAACATACATTTTCCTTGTTGGCAGTGGTTTGAGAGGTTGATGCAACATGAGATGGGTTCATTAAACAAATACAGCTGCACTCTGTCATGATTGACGTGAGCCACTGCTGCCAGCATGTGAAGACAACTTACTGGTATGTCCCTCTATGCCACATGCACTACATCTAGGTTGTTTTCAAGTGATAACCAGTTGACCAGATTGAGGAGTAGATAGGAGATTTTGTCATGGACACATGACAGTAGTGAAAACAGGTTGGAGCACAGGAACTGGTATGATGCGCTGAACAATAGCTATGACATCACTACCAAAGTGGTCCACTGCAGACCACTTTGTTTCCTTATGTAGGTCATTGGTAGTAGAAATTTATGGTGATGAGCACAGTCAACAATACAGTCCAAAACCAAGTCCAGCATTGTCACCCCAGGACCATAGTCATTGAGCATCAAATCACTGTATACTCTCTTGGTTATTAATTCTCGCCATTCTTCCAGAGCATCATGGAGCTCAAATTCATGCAGTCCCATCTCATACTTGACAGTGCATGAACGGTGGGTGATTTTAGAAGGTAAAGCTGTATTGTTATGTGAGAGTGTGTCAGGATTATGGATGTCACAACAGACACTTGATGTGAGTGGTGTGCAGCAGGTGCAACTGTCAGAATTTGATGGGTCACATGTAACATGATCTGAATCTGTGTCATAATATTACAATGAGTCAATATAACCAACTGCAATTAGAGAATATATTACCAGCCAATGAGTCATTGAAGTGAACATGGAGGACCTTGTGTCAACATTGGATTGTACCTCACAGGTGAGCATTAATCAAGCAGTCCATCCCAGGATCTAATTCCCTCTTCTTCCTTGAACCACCTGGCTTTCCCTCTAACTTTGGCTGCAACTGCCCTCTTAGCTCTTGATCACCTACCTCTGCTCTGTCACCATCACTATCAGTCCCCAGGAATATCATTTTCTCACTCATGTACATCATCCTGCCTGCTTACAGGATATAGCTGGGTATGCTATCTTGTAGCCATATGTGCTTTGTTCTCCTCTGCTTTGCGTTTCTTTGTCTCTTGCCACTAACACTTTTCTTCCTGCATGTCATATCCCACAATCTGGACTCACATTCCATAGTATTCCCACGCCTTCCGAGCCTATGTCCAGACCCCATATCTAACTCATTCCCAGATCCCCTTCTGCTGTGTACTCCACACCTCAGCAGGATCAACTATGCTCCAGATTTACCCCTGAGCTCCAGACCTCCGGATCCTCACTGCTAGCCTGATCCATACAACCCTATCCTGTCCACCCTATGCGCACTCCATCCAGCAAGACATCCGGACTTCACCTCGTCTCAGATTCCGGACTATATCCACCTTCTCGTATTCTGGTCCTGTATCCACCTTGTCTTCCGGATCCCCAGATCTCCAGACCTCCGGATATTAACTCCGGACCTATTCCCACCCTCTGTCCAATATCCTGCGCCTATCCCCATTTAGGCATTCTCTGCCTTCCAGTTTTCAGTTACCTCTTGTTCTGTCTTGCTTATTGATCCTTGTATGAGTCCTCATCTCTGAGTTCATTTACTTATGTTCTGACTTACTTACTAATGTGTTTCCACATGCTCGTACATAGCCTTGCCCCTTTGCTTACTGATCCCCTCAGATATTGTTCAGTATATAACCCCTGTAGATACTCCTGTAGTTCCTTAGTTTGAATATCAACTTAGACTTGCCCAATCCTCTCTCGGACTTGGTCCACCTAAGTCTGTCCTACCCATCAGGTCTAGGGATTGATTCCCTAGGCTGGAGCTCCACCTTTCCGGCACTTACTCTCTTTCTGGACTTAGGTCCAATCCCTGTCTCTCCAACTCTACCTTAGGGTAGTCTACCTCTGTTTGTTTCTACATTGGACAAAGTCTGATGTAGCCCCTATTCCTTCCAGACCTCCTGTCCCTCGTACCTCCAGGCATCCTGTCCTTTGGATGTTCCGTCCTCCTAACCCTCGGACATCCTATCCTCCTGTCCTTTGGATGTCCTGCCCTCATCCTGTCCTTTGTACCTCTGTCCTTCATACCTCCAGACATCCTGTCCTTCTGTCCTCTGTCATCCTGCCCTCCTGCCCTCCTGTCCTCCTGTCCTCCTGTCCTCTGGACCTTCAGACCTCCTATCCTTCCATCCTGTTTCCTGTAGAAGTATTACCTTGCAGTGGGCACTCTCCTGAGCACTTCCTGCATTCCTCTGGAACTCTCCCATGTTCCTCTGGATGTTTCCCACACTCCTCCGGAAGTCCTCTAGCACTCTCCAGCAGAGTAGCCAGCCTCCAGAAGTCCTCTGGACTTTGTCAGACCATCATCGGACCTCATATGAAATGAAGGGCACATACTTGGGTAAGGGGCACAGCGTATGAGCTGAGGCCAAGCCCCTTTGAGTCAGTCTCTCTCCCCCTTGAGCAACATGGTTCTTAACACTGTATGTCATCAAAATACTCTTTTTCAGCAAATAATATTGCTGTGCCTTGGAATCTGCAATCTCTGACAGCATATCCCCATCGTGTCATATGCCATTCCAGACTCTCAACTCTAAATCCGCTTCTCTGGATATCCAGATCCAAGATCCAGATCTCAAATGATCTGATCTATCTTTATCTCCCTTCCAGAATCCAAACCCTATATCAGCACCCAACTCCATTTAGACTGCCCCTGTCTCTGGACTCCAGTTAACCATGTTTCCCTTTTGATTATTGATCCATTACATACATTTCATTTCTGGTGTTCATTATTTGTGATCCGTCCTACTTACTAATAGACTCTGCATATGCTTCGTACATAGCCTTTATGTTTGCTGACTGATTCCTATATGTTACCTACAGTATATAAACCTCCTGTGACTCTTGGAAATACTCCAGTTCAAATATCATCTTAGTTCCTGCTCATTCCTGTGTCCTCTGGACTCGAGATAAAGTCTCTTGTCATATTCCAAGTCTTAGGATTGCATCCTAGACTACATTTCTGACTCTACCTTAAGGGTAGTCCATCCTCTGTTAGTTTCTAGTCTGGACTTTGTCCGGATTAGTCTTATCCACTTGCCCAGGTAATATCCGGACATCCGTTATCTGCCCTAGTCAAATCCTGGAAACTCCGGACGACTGTTCTAGCCCCCGGAAATTAAGGGCACATACTCGGGAAAGGGGCACAGCGTACGAGCTGAGGTCAAGCCCTTGTGATCCGACCCCCTTGAGCATGTGACCTTAACACATCGCTGCCATAGAGTAGCCAACTTGCATGTGGCTTTCCACTGGATGACAAGTAATATTGTTAAGGTCATACTCAAGGGCTAACTGGATCCGAAGGGCTTTGGCCTCAGCTCATGCGCTGTGCCCCTTACTTGAGTATTGCCCCTTATTTCAGGAAGGCAAGACTAATGCATCCAGAGGGTCAGATGGGTAGCATAGTGGATCCAGATGACTTCTGGATGCGGAATAAGTATCATAAGGCTAATCCGGACAAGTCCAGACTAGAAAATAGCAGTGGTGGCTGTCGTAGACAGAGGCAGATGCAGATAGATTATAGGAATCAATCCTAAGTCTTGGAGGGTGATGAGAGTAGAGATACTCAGGTCTGGAGGACAGGAATGAGCAGAACTAAGTTGATATTTGAACTGAAGTGTTACAGAGATTTACAGGAGGTTATATACTATAGGTATCTAATGGAATGATCAATCAGCAGGGTCCAAGGCTATGTATGAAGCATATGGATAGTCTATTGGTAAGTAGAAATGGATCACAAATAATGAAACAGAAATGAAGCATAGGTAATGGATCAGGGAGCAGGACAGATATACAGATAACAAAAATACCAGAGTTAGGGGATTACCAAAAGGAGACAAGCACTGGTTGTGGATTCAGATGAATTGTGGACTGGACCAGACGAGTGGACAGATTGGATGACAAGATGTTGGAGGGGGATAAGATGTGGATAGGATCAGAGATAAGATGTGGATCAGATCTGAGATGAGATAAGGATTGGATCTGAGATCTGGATATGCAGATATGACAAATATATCTGGTACATCCATTCCCTAAACATGACCATGATTAGCTATGATACTGTGCTACTAGATGCACGCTGATACCCTTACCATTCCAAACAATTCTGTGGTGCAAAGCCCCCAAGTCTCTCCAGATATCAAGCAATCCAACTCATCTTCTTTGAATCATGTTGTCATGTCAGAGTTAAACCACTTTATCCTGTGATGCAGTGCTGATGGAAGTTGTTTCTGTATTGTTTTTGCCACTGCTATAGAATCTTGAATGTTGTCAAAGAAGATGAGAAACTTTGGAGGCACTAGGTCACCATCCTTCCAGCTATCAGGTATTAAAAATGACAGGTCTTGATATGATGAAAGTGAGTACATGATTTTTTAGACACAGAGTTTGATATTTGCATGATCGACAGACATTTGGATTGTGAGGAGCTTGTCTGAGCACATGTGGAGTAGCCGCTTCACATGTGCAAGATTGTCCACTGTGAGCATTGCGGATGCAAGCATGAAAGGGATGTAGCAAGGCAGGATGTAACAAAGATGCTCTAATTCCCTATATTCAGGACGAAATTCACCCCCGGTTGCAATGCAATGTGCTTCATCAAATATTATGCCAATAATCTGCTGTGCAAAAAGTGGTTTGCACAGCAGTGTCTCAAATTCCTCTCTGGGCTTCATAAGCTGCTCTGGACTAATGATGATGGCCTGATACTTCATACCTTCAATGTCCTGTGTGAAAGACCAGGGTATGATAGTAAGTCATCCTCCCATAGCATAACTGTTAGATCCTCACGCAAAAGTTGCCACAGCTAGCTGTCTCCAAGCTTATTGATATACTTAGCAAGCCTGCTTTTGCCAGTGATGAAATGTTCTGTCTCCCGAGCTGGTTCAATGGAGTCACAATAATTTGGGGGCCAGGTTTGAACAGTAAAGGCATCCAAAATGTCATAGTCTTCCCCATTGATGTGCCAGCAATACACACAATGTCATGGTTAGCTTCAATGAATGCTTGTGTGATTTTGATCTGCCAAAGGCATGGCTGTTTTCCGAAGTGCTGCTGGGTGATGTCTCGAATTATGCCCAAGCTAGGGGCTTCTGACATGTGATGACTAAGTGCTCAAATGGAATATTCTATATTTAATTAACATACATATACCTACTTGATTTTTGATTTTTTTCAAGTGCCGAAGGGTTTTGCCACTGTGGCTGAGACTGTTTACAAATGTTTTCTTCCAGCCACTGCTGGAGAGGTTGAGGAATAAGGTTGGGCTGGGTTTAAATGTTCTATACTATGGGAATGCTGATGTAACACAACACTTCCGATATAACAGTCCATCCTCAAACCTCTCCAGTTGTGGATGGGTAGGAGCCTGCATGTATATGGGATTCCTTTGGACAACAGTGATGGGTTGCAGGATTGTAAGTCATCAGTCATTATTATTTTTGTCACTCAGTGCACATCTAGCACTATGCATTGAATGTGTCATATGCCATTCTGGACTCTCAACTCTAAATCTGCTTCTCCAGATATCCAGATCCAAGATCCAGATCTCAAATGATCTGATCTATCTTTATCTCCCTTCTGGAATCCAAACCCTATATCAGCGCCCAACCCCATTTAGACTGCCCCTGTCTCCAGACTCCAGTTAACCATGTTTCCCTTTTGATTATTGATCTGTTACATACATTTCATTTCTGGTGTTCATTATTTGTGATCTGTCCTACTTACTAATAGACTCTGCATATGCTTCATACATAGCCTTTATGTTTGCTGACTGATTTCCATATGATACCTACAGTATATAAACCTCCTGTGACTCTTGGAAATACTCCAGTTCGAATATCATCTTAGTTCCTGCTCATTCCTGTGTCCTCTGGACTCAAGATAAGTCTCTTGTCATATTCCAAGTCTTAGGATTGCATCCTAGACTACATTTCTGACTCTACCTTAAAGGTAGTCCATCCTCTGTTAGTTTCTAGTCCAGACTTTGTCCAGATTAGTCTTATCCGCTTGCCCAGGTAACATCCGGACATGCATCAGATTTATCTCATGTTTCAGATCTGGACGTCTGTTGTCCGCCCTAGTCAAATCCCAGAAACTCCGGATGACTGCTCTAGCCCCCAGAAATTAAGGGCACATACTCGGGAAAGGGGCACAGCATATGAGCTGAGGCCAAGCCCTTGTGATCCAACCCCCTTGAGCATGTGACCTTAACAGAATGGTGCAAAATGAGGGCCTGATGCAACCAGTAGTTCAAAGAAATACAACTGCTCTTGGAGGAAATGTGTCACATCTTGAAGTTTCTTGATTGGCAGGCCAAGTGGTGGGATGAACAGGCAACACTGCATGTGGCTGAGCGGTCTGAGGACATGGAGGGCTTGGCAGCATACACAAAATGTCAGGCTGCCATCTGTTGATCCCTGTCCACAAAATTCAGGGCATCATGGCACCATGTGACTGCTTTGGTAAGCAAAAATCTGGAAGATACTGAGGCTGATGGACCAGCAGAAGAAGGCCCCTCTATTGATGCACCCCACATGGAGATCTTGATGAGATAGACTAATTAGGATGACTTCACTCCTGTACCTTGATGTGCAATACAACTTGTTTGATCCAAACTGCAGCTGTATTCAATGTGACTGACACAAGGGTGACTGCCTGCTATATTAGACATGAGGATGCTTAGACTACATGGATGTATCACTGAGCGGACAACTAAGTCAGAAGATGTATCCCAATTTTAGGCCTATAGGCCAAAGGGATACATCCATCCCCCATCATCAGGTGGATGAGGACACAGGAATGTGGATAGTTTGTCCAGGATATAGAGCAAACAATACTCCAGAGCACACCATCATTCACACTGATGCTATCTATCATGCTGCCCATCTTATTCCCATGTACATCAGCAAAACCCTGATTTGGGTACAGCGCCACAGCCACACAGCATGTCACAGGTCACATAGATTTTGTTGTAAAGGCTCTGCAGCACCACACAAGTATTGATTCTATGTAAAAATGAGTGTAATGTAGTTATAAACATGTATATAACAAGATGGTGTGCTAATAATTATGTTTTATTGAGAAATTGTGTAGTGTGCAGCACTGTACAGCACTGTACATGGGGGGACCTTGCTGTGACACTGTGATTGCTGTGCAGCGTTGTGCAGTGCTGCACATAGGGTTAGGGTTTTGCTGATGTATGGCATGGAACTCCTGTGGCAGGAGCTCAAGTTTTATCATTCCTATGATGCATTTCAGACTTACTATGTCAACAAATATGCTGACCATCACACCGTTGAGATTGCATTTTGACTTACTTTGTATATAGCTACTTGTTTGCCATTTGAATTTAACACTCTCTTGATCCATATTTTTTCTCCTTTGCATGGTTAAATCAATTGAAGACACTTTGGCGCCTTTGAAAATTTTCAGGAAGATCGAGGTATCACTCCTTTTATTAATTTTCATGCCTTGGCGCCAGCGTCAAGGCAGGCAAAGTGGCATAATGGCGGAAAATGAATCCGAGGTTTTACTGATGCTCATATTACTATGATTAGTACCACTGGTATCATATTGATTATTCTACATTTTTTTCGCTACTGAATACGATCCATTTGATTTTTTTCATTGTGTCTGGTGCACGGCTTGTTGCTATCTGTAAGCTAGCCATTAAGTATCTGTAAGGTATCTGGTAGTGATCTGGTATCAGTCATGCCAATCTGGTCATGGCAGATTCATGTGGACACAGGCTCGCATCTGGTGCCCTGACAACCTGGAGCCAGATTCTCCAGGCCATTCAGGACTGTCCGCACGTTTGCTGATGTTTGGGTGCAAGCTTCTTAGAAGGGAATGGTGGATTGCGATTATGGTGACGAAGCCTATGGTGCGACGGAAACGGCTGCGCGAGCGTTGGTACCAGTAGCCCTCACCATTGTACTTGTTCCGAAATATAAGATCGTATGGACAGGTGGCCATGCATATTTTCCATGGGTCTGCAACGGATGCACCAATCATAGCATAATAGAATTGTGCATTATGACATCTGTTTTTCAGCCCTGTTCGGGGAGCCTGGAGGTTTCATCCAAGCTCCCGCACATTGATCAGGGATGAATTCTTCTATATATAATATCAAACAAGGAACCAGGTATAATCCACTTTACAGCGAGCGGCGTAACGAGCGCGGAAGGTGGGGCGCTGTTTCGGTACTACCGCAAGTTGCAAGACGGTGATTTACGGAGGGTAAGGTGGATGGTGTGACTTATTTAAGACGGCGAACTATCAAACCAATCTATAAAGTAAACTTAGAACTTGAACTAAGTTGTGTTGTACAATGTATCTAACATCACAATCAATTCCTAGGATAAGATCATGATCATCGATCGCAAAGCCTAGAAGTATCAATTTAGTGATTGCAAGTCAGACTAATGGCTAGGAACTCACTCATCTCGGCACTTCTGCCAGTGTTTTCCATGTGCCATGCGGCTCAAATCAACCTCAGTCGGTCGTCTATCCATCACCAATGTAGTCCAAGGAGTATCAAATGAATGACGGGAGGTAGGAGGCACCCAGAAAAGAAGCCGATGATCGGGTCCCACCATCCATCCATCAGCGCCCAGAGAAAAGGAGGTCGAGATATCATCATGATAGGAGGCGCCCTCCATTAACTCAGCCGGATTGCACAGGGCGTGGTTCGGGTCCAGCGAAAAGCAAATGGAGCGATTGTTCCAAGTGTTGGTTGACATGATGTTGTCATTCGTGGCATGCATTGTGTGACTTGTACCTGAGGAGGACGTTGAATAATCCTGCTTGGGGTACTCTTGCAATGGCTGCAAAATAGCTGCCTGCCACAGCCGAACAGTGTCATCCACCGAACTAGACACAATGCGTGACCCATCTGGCGAAAACGAGGCTGACCCAACCCCACCAGTGTGCCCCTGGAAAGGCTCACCAATTTGCTTCCCCGTCGCTACCTCCCACAGTCGGACAGTGTTATCTGATGAACCAGACACAATGCGGGTCCCATTCGGCGAGAACGAGACTGAGTTAACCCAAGCAGTGTGTCCCTGCAAGGGCTCACCGATTGGCTGCCTCGATGTGGTGTCCCACAGCCGGATGGTCTGGTCATACGAACCAGAGGTGATGCGAGTCCCATCTGGCGAGAATGAGACTGAGGTGATGGCACCAGTGTGCCCCCGCAAGGGTACACCAACGGACCGCCTCATCGCTACATCCCACAACCGAACGGTCTGATCGTCCGAACCAGATACGATATGAATGGAATCTGGCGAAAATGAGGCCGAGTTGACCCAAGCTGTGTGTCCCCGTAAGGGTTCACCAATTGGCTTCCCCGTCGCTGCCTCCCACAGTTGGACAGTGTTATCCGATGAACCAGACACAATGCAGGTCCCATTCGGCGAGAATGAAACTGAGTTAACCCAAGAAGTGTGACCCCGCAGGGGTTCACCGACTGGCTGCCCTGATGCGACATCCCACAGCCGGAGGGTCCTGTCATACGAACCGGAAGCGATGCGAGTCCCGTCTGGCGAGAATGATACTGATTTGACGGCACCAGTGTGCCCCCGCAGGGGCTCACCGACCGGTTGTCCCGTCGCTGCACTCCACAGCCGGACAGTCTTATCCGCCGAGCCAGTTACGACGCGGGTCCCATCAGGAGAGAACGAAACTGATAACACCTTATCCGCATACTCTCCGAGCAGGCTCTGAACAGCCGACCAGTTTAAATCATGCCCAGACGCCAGACGGAGGGTGTTGGGAAACTTTGCAACAAATTTTGATACCGCAGATTCGACGGGCGAGAATGACAGCGCTGACACATAAAGATGCGGCGTGCTGTGTAAAATGATGCCACCAAAGGTTTGAATAAATCGATGCACGTCCATTGCAGCGCCTGAGACTTCTTCGTATCCGGAATGATCCTGCGGCTGTGTGAACGCTTCTGATACTATCCAGATACCATGTGCTTACCTTCAGCCACTGGGCAATGTGCGGCAGGGCAGTGACTGCGCTACTGATTGCTTGGATAATGCCAAGTACTTCAAGCCAAAAGAGCAGCCGCTCGTGATCGAAGAATGATTTCACTTCATTTGCGAGTTCCGTGTCGAAGTCAGTTGCTCGTAAGTGCAAAGACCAAAATCGACAAGAATAGGACAGATGCGGGGGAATGGAGCTGTTGACTCGTTCTTGTAGCTCATGGTCTTCGCGATTGAGGAGGTATGAAGACTTCAAATCACAGAGATTGAAGCGAAGTCCATACTCCATCATTCGAAGCGATGCAAAAGTAAGGTCGCGTTGTGCTTTTGACATGTCAATGAAAAAGTCTCCACTGGATGCTTGGTCTGTGAGAAATTCGTGAAACGATGTGTGAATGGGTTTGATGGGTGTAGATGAGTTGGTGGTGCCGCTGAAGAGGGATCCCATATGTTTTACGATAACCTCTGCTTTGTAATGTTCGCTTTGGTCTGGAATACGGTCCCTCATGGCATTCAGGGAAATTAATGAGAGCGGTTCAGCTGTGCCAAGTATTTGTGCCATCACAGAACGAAACATCGCCAATGCTTCAGGTTTCTGATCTTGAGTTTGTGCCAAGATCAACCGATACATCTCATATAACAGACCAGGATCGCGGTTCCGGATAGCATCGAAGTGAAGAATTGCGTCCGTGCCAGGGGCTGTCTTGATGTATTCACAAGCACGACGTGCCCACTCGAAAAGTCCATCAGCTTGCGCAACGAGCATTGCAATTTGTTTTTCCTGGAAATCCGACAACTCCTTCAACTCCTCAGATACATAGGTATGGATGTCACGCTCCACGACTTCTGGTGGAATATCGTCCATGGACAACGGTAGGATATGCTGAGCACCGTCAAACTCGTCTTTGATATCAGGAAGCGGACGAGAGGTGACGAGGATACGGAAATTGGGTGGTAAGTCAGTGATTTTAGAACCCTGATCTGAAAGTTTACCAGCCATTATGCGGAGAAGATTATGCCGCGTATTTGGCCCGCCGCTCTCGTCCAATGCTTCAATCACGATCAAGACAGGTCCCTCCGTCAATCCAGAGAGCTTCCCCAGCGGTTCCACGAGAAGCTCATGCCATTGCTGGATGATATCTGTTGTGTTCTTGAGCGCACTGGTATGCTGTACTGCATCTGCCAACGCTCGCTTCACCTCTGGATCACGGTCAGCCAGGTCACGCGCAATGGTGAAAAAGATCTTTTCATGCCGACGGTCGGCATCTTGCTGACGGTCGAAGCAGTAACACGAACCAAGCCCTCCCACATTATTAAACCAGTTTGCAATCGTGTGGGCAATGACTGATTTGCCCTTTCCTGCAGGGCCAGATAACCACAGCACACGCTGAGCATTGTCTTGCGTGCTGTTGGCCCAGTCAGTAATCTTGGAGAGGATTTCTATGCACGTCCCCGGAAGGCATTGTTTCCCAGGATTTAGTCCAGCGCCTTCCGCATAAGTTATACCACTGAGGTCCGAATCACCTGAAGAAGTATGGATAAATGTCAAGTCAAAAGCACATACGAATCCTTACCCGTACGGTGAACGGAGGGGGGATCATCCCGGAGAGTTCGGTGTTTGAAGTCATCCATGAGCTCCTGAAACACGTCGATGTACTTTTGAATCCTACGATCTGTTTCGCTCCCGAATCTCTTCCCTATAATAACATTACAAAGATTAAGAATGAATAAAGCGCAATAATTCGCGGAATCCTCACAGGGATACTTGATCGCGGAATAATCTCTGATAAACTGGGAGCACTCGAGAGTCTGTTGAACTATTCGTCCGACGATGATCTGCATTGACGGAATTTCGCAAAGAGTCTCGTCTTGCATCATGAAGTCGTACACTCGACCCAACTGCTTGAGAAGTTCAAGAACCGCTTCATCGTGATCCGTTTGATCAAGAACTATCTACACCAATGACTTCTAAGCAGGGGATAGAAGCGAGAGAGGAACTAAATATACCTTCGATGCACGAGACAACATGCCCAGTGCAATTTTAGTATACGGATGTACCTATGCAACGGGATTAGTTCAATTGCGACCGAGAGGGCTAGCCCATACATCCATTAGCGTCCCAACAGCATTCTCAAATTTCTTGAGGGGATATATGTGTCCTGGAAGTTGTTTGCAGCCCCGAGATCCGCTAGGGAGTTTTGGGCAAGGGGTGTAAATTTCACACGCCCCGAAAGTGGCATTGGGAGTCCAAGAGATGCCACACGCGCCGAAAGTCTCCGAGTCACTTTCATGGGCTTTGCAGGCTCTTCGGCGTTCTGAGGTGCCGATTGGGGATCAGCACCTTGGTCCACACTAGTATCCTGAACCTGTGCAACCAGCAGAAGTTAGACAGAAAGAGCAGAAACTGAAAAGTGACTTACCTCGATATTCGGAATCGATGGGGCACTTTCATCAATATTCGGAAGAACAGGTTCACGATCGAGGGAATCCTTCGAGCCCTTTTGTACGATCACATGAGCCTTGTTACAGTAAACTCAGGATCCTTATCGACTCACAGAAATCCTTTTATTCGCATTCTTAACCTCCCCTAGAAACCGAAGAACTTTGTCATGGCGTCCGAGTCTGCCCTAGAATAAGTTAGATGCGTCAGAGTTAACATCTTAAGGGAAATGAATTTCGTGAAGAGTGGTCCTCATCAGCGACATACCGAACTTTCACTTGATGTGCCAAGAGGAACTGAACTCGAATCCTTCGATTGCTTGCGTTCACTTGGCCTCATTGTGGATAATTGATTTAGACGTCGACTCGATCAGTCCTTCCGGAGGCTCTGAGCAAAATGGGAGAGCGATGCACAGCTAAAGAAAGGGTGGCACCGCTTCGTTTAAATAGCTGGCAACAGGTCATACCCTAAGTCTGGAGGCATGATATTTGCTGCTGTATTGACTCGAGCGCTATGTAAATGAAACAGGCTATGCTTGAGCTATATATGCCCTTCATGGGCCGCAATTGCAAGGCGAGCAATCAACGAAACTTGTTATATTTATAGACGAATCCCTCAGGTCGTCGGGAAGCACACTGCAGCTGAATCCTACCACCACTACATGATCTTTGTACCTGGACGCTACTTCAAACTTGATGGATAAAGATAATCAGAGTAACTCGACCCTAATGTTGATGCCCAACGCATCACCAATGTGCCAATGGGTGAGGTATGAAACGTCGTTGCTGGTTGTTTATAATGATATCATCTACGGATTGCAGCTGTCCCGTTCCTCCACTTCAAACGATGAACCTCGCGGACCACGCACGGCGCTTCTATCACTCTTGCGGATGCCTGCCCCCAACATCATCCGATCTCCCCTTTCCCCTCGCATTCGGACTCGATCTCCCGACCCTGTGGTTGCGCCATCAGTTCAGAAGAGCCAGGTAGGTGACTCTTCACATACCTGAAACAGCCTTGTTTCTCTTTCAACAATGAACTAAGGTTCATCATTAGGCCGAATTACCTGGCTGGAATGCCACTGATGGTATTCTCAGACGCCTGAAGGAAGTTGACTCCGTTGCTTCTCGGATTGCACATGTATATGCCCTTATCGCTGGTCTGTGCGACTGACTGACTGACCTCCATGCATAGGTAAATTCATTTGCAAGGTCAGCAATGGCATGCGCGTACAAGGTGCGCTCATGCACACATCTTCAGCGTTGCAGGTTTTACAAGATGTCTCTCAGATGATTCACGATAAGCCACCCACGGATGATGCTTTTTCCCCTCTACTTGCAAAGATTGTGGAAGTCTATGCTTTAATGACGGAAAGGCAGGAGTCGGCTAGGGTTCCATCCATAGTAGTGGTATACGGACAGATGGCACGGCAGACGCTAGAGTGCGCAGACTTCATTGTCCATTACTCAGAGACCATGAATTTTTGTGGGTCGAATGTACTGAGTGGTTGCCTAGGACTTACTGTGGTTTGGATAGGGAAACGAGTTGGCAAGTATGTTTCCGAAGAGACATTTACCACGATTCAGAACTACAATGAGGTTCTCAACAATCTGATGCAGCAACTTCAATATCGAACGACTCGTGAGATTATTATCTACCGTATGGGTGAGGGTTGGCCTCAAACTCACATCGAACCTTCTCTGATAATCACCATCTCGTCATCTAGCTGACGATCTGGACCCCAACGACATGGTGTATGCAACTGGTGCCGGACTGGATATTTCCAAGTGTTGTCTCCCAGGTACTCGGGAAGGAATCCTATCCAAGATCAAGTCCTGAGTTTGTAGCACGGGAGAGGACGTGCCGCGCGTCCTGTGGTTGTCTGGTGCTCCAGATACAGGCAAATCAGCCATTGCCCATACAATAATCAAGTGGTATATGGAGCTTGGTGGTCTGGGAGCTTGCTTCTGCTTCGATCGTAAACGAGGAGCAGACTGCCGCCATGAGAAAATATTTTCCACGATCGCACACGATCTGGCTGCTTGTGATCCTTTTGTGAGACGAGCGCTAGGGGGTGCGTTCCACGATGACAACACGCTCAAGCATACAACAGACATTATAAAACAATGGAAAGAATTCATAATTGCACCAGTAGCAAAGGCCCCGAAAGCCATTGTTTCTCCCCTCCTGATTGTCATCGATGGGTTGAACGAGAGTGGCGAAGCAAATTCCCGGGAACAGGTTCTTCGTCTGCTTGCTGGCAAGCCGGATGCGTCTTCCTCCCAGCTAATCCCACGAAACTACCGTATTCTTGTCACTTCCCGTCCAATAAGCGACATTCGCGATGCCCTTCAAACCGTACCACATGTCAAGCATGTCTCCATGGACGGTATTCTGCCCTTGTCCGCAGAACGTGACATCCAGCTTTACTTCTCCTTCAAGTTGGCAGGCCCGCGCAACATATTCGACGACGGGCATTTCAAGATGCTTGTTCAGAAATCTGGTGGTCTGTTTGAATGGGCTCGTCTCGCCTGCGAATATATCAACGGAACCACCAGAGTGGGCCTAGATCCAATGGTCCGTTTCGAACGTGTGCTTGCTGGATCATCTGGAGAAGGAACATGTCCGTTTGATGTTCTATATAGACTTATCTTGGCAGAAGTGATGCCAGAGGACGAGCGTGGGGAATTGATTCTCATATTTCGCTCCGTGATGGGACAAATCCTTGCGTCACCAGAACCGCTTCCCATGGCCGCATTGACTGCGATGCGACTTCATTTCCCATGCGTTCATGACCGTTACGACGTAGCTCGGGTCATCAGGCCACTGGATTCACTTTTTATCGGTACTAGGGATTACACGACTCCAATATGTCCGGTCCACCTATCCTTCTACGATTTTCTCACAGCGAGATCGCGGAACCATGACTTCTTCGTCGATGTGTCAATGGTACAAAGTGATCTGGCTTTTGCCTCGCTTCGTGTCATGAAACATGGGCTTTGTTTCAATATCTGCTCCTTGGAGACTTCTTACCTGCCCAACTCTGCTGTCACCAATTTGGAGGCACGAGTGAAGAAATCCATCTCAGCTGAGCTATCGTACTCGTGTCGCTTTTGGGGGACACATGTGCAGGCTTCGTCCTTTGAACCATTGCTTGCTAAGAATGTTCAAGCTTTTCTCGATGGGGAGAGCCTCCTTTTCTGGCTGGAAGCACTGGCTCTAATGAAAAGTCTCGGCAGTTCAGAGAGGTCCCTCTCGTCTATTGCAGACTGGTTCAAGGTACGTGGCTGGATCCCATTGTTGGGACCAATCTAAACTCACGGGTAGTGGCAGGGTCATGGTGAATATACGCATACAGGTGGCGCTGTCAGGGACACCCAAGAATTCGTCCGGAATTTCGGAACCGTCATTTTACACAGCACGCCACATTTATACCTGTCCGCTCTGCCGTTTGCTCCGCCAGAGTCAGCAGTATATAAAATATTTATCACACAATTTCCTTGCACCGCTCGGGTCGTTTCCGGACATGTCATAGCGCCGCCTCAGATCCTACGCGGGGATGCCAGTGTTATGTCGGTGGTACTCTCGCCTGATGGAAGACGTATCGTGTGTGGTTCAGATGACGGGAGGGTCCAGGTGTGGGATAGGATGACTGGCAAGGAGTTGGAGTCCCCTCCCAAAGGGCACACTAGCGCTGTTCGTTCTGTTGCAATCTCGCCAGACGGAAAACTCATTGTGTCTGGCTCGAATGACGAGACGGTCCAGGTGTGGGATACAGAGAATAAGAACACGTTTATCCTCAAAGGGCACAATGGCGCCGTTCTGTCTGTCGCCATCTCGCCAAGTGGGAAATACGTTGTGTCTGGTTCAAATGACAAGACGATCCGGGTGTGGGATCTAGAGGCTCGTAAGGCACTCGGTTCCCCACTCCAAGGACATACCGACTGGGTCCAGTCTGTCGTCATCTCTCCCGATGAAAAACACGTTGTGTCTGGTTCAAATGACAAGACGATCCGGGTGTGGGATCTAGATGCTCACAAGGAACTCGGCTCCCCACTCCAAGGACATACCGACTGGGTCCAGTCTGTCGCACTCTCGTCGGATGGAAATCTCATCGTGTCCGGTTCACGTGACAAGATGATCCGGGTGTGGAATGCAGAGACTAGAGAGTCATGTAGTGCCCCTCTCCAAGGGCACAAAGACGATGTTCTGTCTGTTGCAATCTCACGAGATGGAAAACACGTCGTATCTGGTTCGGCTGATAATACTGTCCGGGTGTGGGATCTAGAGAGTAGCGGTGTATTTCGCGCCTCTCTCCAAGTTGCGAAGCACGATGATTACGTTCGGTCTGTCGCAATCTCGCCAGATGGACAATGTGTCACGTCTGGTTCAGATGACCAAACAATCCGGGTGTGGAACGAAGCCTTTGAAGCACCTACAAGCTTCTCGTCCGACCTGGCTAGTATTCTTTGTTCCACCTCCTCCGCTCTCCAAAACTCTTGCAACATAGCATCTCTTAAAGACGGGTGGATTATAGATTCCGAAGGACAGCTTCTCCTGTGGATTCCGTCTGATCGCCACCCTTCCATAGCCAACAACAAGCTGTTGATATCCAAAGGTTCTTCAAAGCTGGATTTAAAGCATTTCACACATGGTACATCATGGCGCAGGTGTCGAGAACAAAAGGTTGTACTATGATTTCTCATAGTTTACGCCCTGGCCACATATTATAGTAGTCATCAAATACATATTTGCGTACATCCTACACAAGAACTTGTACAATGGAGTCCGGGTAACACAATACCACCTTGGGTAGTGTAAATGTAACTATACGTCAGTTCCTACAGCATTGATAATCTAAGACGGCTCATGTCTTTTCAAATCTTTCATCGCAAGTAAGACTCTCTTGGGCGGTGGAGATTGTCGTGATTCCAACTTGCTAATCACGCTGCCCAGCCCATTACGAAGGAATTCGAGGTCGCTTGTTGAAGCATTTGGTGGCATGTGAAGCTTCGTGGCGGTGACAAGAGCTTCAAGAATGTCAATGCCATCATCCAGAACATCGGAATCAGAACCGTCCTTGTCCTGGCGGCCTGCGACATGCCATGCCATCCTCGTCATGTCCCACCACTGTTGTCTCGAGATAGCGAGAAACTGAGGAACGGCCTGCTGGTTGTAAGCGACTTGGATGCGGAGGAAGATTCCGACAAGATAAAAGAAGGAAGGAGGAGGTTGGTCACAAAAAACAGGAATGATTCCGATGCATCTCGCGATATGACAATCTTCATCTAAGCGAGGGAGCCAGTTGGGACCACTTGCAAGAGTGAATATGAGACGAAGATAGTAGAAATCATCGTTGGCATCAAATTGGGGTGGAGCTATGGTGAGTAAGGCTGGGGAGAGCTTGGAGAGGACTTCGTTCTGTAAAGGCACTGGAACACTCAGGCAGGGAGTGCCAGTGATCGTAGCAAGATCTCGTCTGATACGATAAGCGATGTGTAAAGCAACACGTTTGGATTCAGGGCGTTTATCTCGATTCACGAAATGAATGAGTGCACGGCAGTATTGACCAAACTCCACAGTTTTGTCAAGTGATGGTGCCGACAATACAAGGAATACTAGACGCTGAATGTCGAGCAGCGGGGAGCCTGCCAGGTCCTCGCTATATTTGGACCAATCAGTGACTTTGAGGAGACAGATTGCATTGGCGAACAGGTCACCGCCGCTGTGTCCACGCTGGATGGGGGGACTGATAGCTGTCAGGACAGCCTCTGAGAAAGATGAATCGCAGCGCGAATCGATGTCAACAGCCCGACAAGCAGCACGAAGTGCGCTATGGCGCAATGTATGCGATTTAGGGCTGCTATTCAAAAATGGGACGATAAAGGCTTGACTGATGTACGGTGGTTTCTTGAGGTCACTGAGCAGGAGGAGAGCATCTCCTGCTGCCTCAAAATATTGGATAGTGTTGAAACGTTTTGCACAGTCCATGAGCTGTTTTGCGCAGTCCATGAGCCAGTCAACGTTCGGGAGATCGAGTTCTGATCCGAATTGGCCATCCCAAACCAATTTTACATATCCCTCGTTTAGATCAACAAATTTGTCCATTCCAGCACCCAGAGCCATACGCAGAGCAGTACGCGTGTTGTCTGCTTGGTCCCGTAGACCTGTTGAAACAGTCTCCTTCATTCGGCAGAATGAAATGTTGCACTGCTCCAGTGCCCAAGGAAGATATATGCTGCGCCACAACGACCAATGCTCCCACTCCGGTAGGAGTTTATTAACTATCTTCGTCGCCCCGTCATGCTTCCAGCAAATGTGGATCAACGCCCTCCCAAATGACACCGCGTTGCCTTGGTCTGGTGATGCAGAGTCAAAGCACTTCGTAAACATGACTAGCACTTTCTCGATCAACGATGGTGACAGGACATGCCGCGAATGGTTGGGCGAGACATGCTTAGAGCTAGAACATGCTGTGAACATGCCTATCACTTTCTTGATCAACGACGATGACGGGACATGCTGTGACTGGTTGGACATGGTAACCATCAAGTCAAGCGCCAAACTGAGAACGTCAGGATTTGTCGAAGTGTCCAAGATCCATGCCATGGCGTCTCCAGTAGAATCTTTATAAATGTGGCGGTCAATATGTAGGAGATATCGAATGGCCAAGGAGATCCACGTCTGATATGGACTGTCAGGGGATCTCAGAGATACCCAGACGATGTAGATATAGAGGAGGGCGCCGCAAGCAGTTGGTGCGATGATGAAAAAGGAGACGATCCGGTGTTGCATCCACATGGAAGCTGCCAAGGACAAAATAAACAGAACGAGAGAGATTTGGAGAAGGACCGGGAATGAATGCAGGACACGTTCGAAACGCCTTTTTTCTAGCTCTTTAAACTTGCGATGCCTCTGCTGGCATCGGTCTCCAAGCTGACCACCGTCAAAACGATTGGTCTTATAGTGATTCAGCCATTGCTTGCCCAAGACAGCGCCGAAGGCGGCAATCAGACTGAATGTAAGGCTCGTATATGCAAGCACCTGCATCCATATTTTGGAAGAAGAGTAAGTGACAGGTGCCGAAAAGGCCGGCTGGACGACAGAAGATCCGTTCCATGCGTTTTGCATAAACTGTACCAAAAGATCGTTGGTAGTATCAGCAGGATTGGGTTGCATTGCGATGATGAACGCGGTATTGACAGCGGAGAATAGACCAGCCTGGTTGTTCGTGTTAGATGGTAATAAAAACAACTATACAATTTCCGTACGAAGAGCATTATTATATCCATATTGCCATTACACCTCTCGAACATGTTGTCGTCATATTCGCCAGATATCTTTTTGTATGCAGCCCAAAATTTAGAAGCCGCGCCCTTTCCTCTTTCCTCGGCAATGCTGGAAGTCTCAAGGACCTCGATGATCTGCCGAAGAAGATTCACGAGTGGACTGAAATGAAGGTATTCAATTCTAATACAATCGCACGAAAATGGAGACTTACGCAAAACTACTCCTTGCATTGTCATCATCGGAATCCATGTAGAACTTGGAGCTTGGTAATATCGGTGGGACGGGGGTGAATGGGTTGGAAGAGAACTGAGAGACGCTACAGCGCTAGAAGTATTTGAGCCTATTGATAACATTAATATCGTGACAACGTTGTAGACTGCATCAGGAAAACATTCCTAAACCACGCGAGCTAGCGAGCGCCCAGAGTTCTCACACCAGGAAACTCTGAATTTGACTTTCTCTATCACCTAGACACTATGGCCGACCAAAGAATCTCAAAGAATGTGCCATTCGACTCATAGGTAATGGATGAGGAATGGAGGATATATGCAAAGCACTTCGTAAGTGGGAGGAACTGCTGCCGCTGGAGACGGATATTTGGGAAGTTCAGTACTGCCACGAGCCTCGAGGCTTCCACTCACTGACCGCACTTACGTGCACTGTGTTGACAGTTGTTGTTTACTTGACGAGGTCCCTCGGCCCCCGGACAGCTGCTTTCTGTCACCAACTGTAGAAACTATGATACTCATAGTGAAGGTAGGAGGGCTAAGCGCTAAGAGCGCCTGAAAAATGTGTTGGAGCGGTGTATCCGCGACTGTGAGCCTGCGTGTCGCTAGCAAGGCAAGAAGTGTTGAAGAGCACTACGCTACCACTGTAAGCCCGAGCTTCGGGCTGTGATGCTCGCTAAACTACGGTGGTACTCGGCTGCCATTCGGCTCCTACCCCTGGGGTCCCCTACTCCAGTGTGCACTGTGCAAGTCGCAGGAAGTCGACTACGAGCGTCCTGGCCAGGATGTTATGTATAGTATCGACTTCCTTTTGGTCACAGGACGCGAACATTTTGTGATTGCCCGAAAACATCTGTAATGCTGTCTAGTAAATAGATGAAACACTTTCTACTATGTAACATGGCAAAAGTGAAAAAATGTGTTATTATGTAAATGATGTAGTGCATAGCACATTGAAAAAAAGGAGAAACGTTGTAGTTGAGCTCGCTGTTGCCCACAGCGAGCACAAAGGTTTCAGCAACGTGGGGCATCGACTCGGGCTGCAACACATTGGAATTGTTGTTTGGGTGTGCTCTGGAATATACGACAATGGACTTTGAAAAATGTATGCGGCATGACGAATTATCACGAACGATCCACCATGGTCATATCCTCGTACGTGTGATTGACTGCTACTTCAAAAGAGGGCATGAGAGCAAGGTATTCTGCTCGCTGCACATTTGTCATTACTCCAGTATCGAAAAAGAGGCTCTCCAAGGGATAGTTTGATCGTGCCAACAATGCATTCAACTCTGCATGAGGCAACTCTCGGATACCGTGAGTGACTGCAGGCGCGCGCAAATTTAGGAGTGACAGAATATCAAGCAGACTAGAGAGTGCACCCGCATACACAGACTTGATGCGCATGGATTGAAGTTTAGCGTGCGTGAACGGCTGCAAAGTCCGTTTGAGTATCCCGGATCCTAGGCTGAACAGCAACCCAGATCCTACTAGGCTAGACGTCAACGAGGAAATGTTGAGAGAGTTAGAGCAAGTGGAGCAATGCATTTGGATATTTGACGGCGATCTCGATGTTTGTTAGTTGTGCAGACATAGGGTCGAGAGACGATAGTCACTTAAGGGTAAGGTCCAGCCCCACTAGCTTGAAGCTGCGCAAAGTGGGTGGCAGACGGAACGACATAGCTGGCATATCATTGTTATATGGCCTGGCAGTCAGCTCCTGAAGGGCTGGAATGTCTTTCAACAGATAATCAGGATTAGCTCCATGGTGAACCTCGACATAGAGAGCCGATATCTGACCAATGTAAGGCTGAATGGTGCTTCGTAGTTTGATTTCGTTACCTTTATAGCACACGAGTGCTAAAGAGATTGGAAATACTCGGGATCCCTTGAACCATGGGTTCAATAACAGAAGGCTGCCTGCTCTCAGTCTCCGCGATCGCTCAGATGCAGTCTACACTGCAAATTGGGTATGTCTACGACAATATCCCTCCACCGTCGGCATATTCTGCATGGGAGCATCTCGGTTTGGGTCGGACAACGAGTAAGCGCGTTCCCAGAGGGGGGATACTGAGAGACAGTATTCCGGGAGACAGTGACGAAAAATTTAGGCCAATGCTTCGTTTGGAAAACGCCGGAGAGCCAATACAAGCCCCTTGTACATATTAATGGACCGGGTAATTTTCTCCTTCTTGTCGACTGTCCATGATAGTTTCCAGGCTTGAGATCTCATACAACACCGCATCCAACTGCTGCTGGTGTTCGGTGACGACGGTACTGATGCCCAAGTCCTTGGCGTTGATGGCAGAGAAGTCGATATTTAGAAATCTCGAGTGTGGTGTTCAAGGTCTGGAGCCTGGACATCGTCAGTTGTAGAATTGTGACGTGCTGAAATAGACATGCGATCACTTGTGAACGCGTGAGTTGAAGCAACGATTATTATTCTCAGACACGCGAGTGCTCATAAAACTGAGTACTGATTGCAGCGCACCGATGAGACCAGAAACAAACGAATATTATCATCCCAGTTGGTTGTTGTTCTCTCGATATTCATTGGTTTGTTGATTGTTTGAAGCGTTCGAGGAAGAGGAATGAGTTCAAGCCTCAAGACGACCGAGTTCCTTGCAGCAGGCGCGTAATGACCGGCCCTAAACCCAATAATGTGGAACCGTGTTGTTCAAAACTTCAAGTGCACGGTGGCGCTGAGTAAGTCTCAGCCGTTCACTACCTTTCGAGACGCTCTGTCGGACATCCTGTAGTCTGCCAATAACAGGCCATGTCCCACTCATTTGGGCCAGTCGATTTTCTGGACGCGGAACCCGACGAACTGGATGTTATCGCCAGTTCCAGGTCAAGTACAACTCTAATTGGTGACGGGTCTCCCCCGGTCGAAGAGGAGAAACTCACCATCAGGTTACGTGTCTCTCCTTCCCGGAATGATTTACAAAGCGGAGAAAACATTCAGATGACGGGAAAGCGCGTCAGAACATCATCGTTTTCTGCCACAGACAATGGCGCGAACTCTCAGAAAAAGCAAAAGATGCAAGATAAGAAAGCGGTAGGGTTCTATAGCTGTCTTGCGGAGCTGATGCCGATAACATGATGATAATCGATCTTCTAGAATACCATAGTCATAAATGCAAGAAGGGTACAGCTCGAATCTGCCCGCAGAAGGTGGCTGTACCGCCATCACGACCTGTTTCAACCACTATTGCCCTCGACTTCATTCTTCGACACGTTGCGCAAGGAAATAAAAGAAACGGAAGGAAGCACGGCTTATGTCCCACTCCGCGTCCTCATGACACAGCCTTCGTTGATAAAGGGCGGTGAAATGAAGGATTATCAAGTACGTATAGTACACCTTGTCCGCACAGCGTTTCCTTGAACACTTCTTGGCTGCAGCTTCAAGGCCTTGCATTCCTAATCTACATGTATAAGAACGGTATGTTTTTTTTTTGCTCCATGATGCACCCTAGGGACTAAGACCACGTGCAGGGATGAACTGTATATTGGGTGATGGTAAATCTTTCATTCTTCTGCTTTATTTTATCCATCGTGACGATTTGCGTAGAAATGGGCCTTGGAAAAACACTGCAGGTACTTCTTTTCTTTGGTCCGTATTCTTTATCTGACATAACGCCAGACCCTATCCCTCTTTGCACATATTCAAGAGAACGAACCCGGTGTGCCACCTATAGTCATTCTGCTTTGCTAAATGCTAACGCTCTGTGAAGGCCGTTACGATCCACATCTTATCATCTGCCCTCTTTCTGTTTTGTCCTCCTGGCAAAATGTAAGATTTGTAGCTCTATCCTCGACTATTTCCCATGTTAGTCATTTATTTAGGAAGCTGCCCGCTGGCTACCCTCATTGCGCGTATTTCGTTTCCACGGCAATCAGTCGGAGAGAGATCGACTCAAGACCAGTGTCAGGAACGACGATATGAAATTCGATTTATGCATCACGACTTATGAGGCGTATGTTTGTGAGGATAATTGGTTCAAGAGCCGACGATGGTTCTATTGTGTTCTTGACGAGGGGCACAGGATCAAGAATTCTGATACCAACCTCTTTGGCAAAGTCCGTGGCTTAGGTTCTCTGTACCGACTCAGTAAGGCGGTTTCTTTTGCATTGTATTTTATCATCTCACTGTCGTGTACCGCCAGTCCTTACTGGCACGCCTGTACAAAACAATTTGGTCGAGCTATGGGGCCTTTTGAATTGGCTATACCCAACCATATTTACTCCTCCTTCACAGCGATTATTTCACGAATCCTTTGACCTCTCTCGTGGCTCATACTCCATACCGTTCCTAAAGGCTGCGCAGGAGCTCTTGCTTGTCATTATGATGCGCCGCACCAAGGCGAACGTCGATATAGCCGTACCGCCACGTGAAGAACTTACTTTATTCATACCCATGACGGAGGCACAGAGGTTCTGGACTTATAGATTGTTAACACGAATGGATACAATGGACCTAGAAGAGATTTTCACAGAGGAGGATGGCCTGCTAAATGAGGGACGCAAGGAAGTGTTTTCGCACATCGCATCAGCGATAAATCGGAATGTCTCTGGAGAGACAAACAGTGAGTAACCCCGAATTGTACTTGCCCATCGTTATCACGTGCTTATGACACCAAGGATGGCGGAAGCTCATGAATTTATTGATGCAGCTACGTAAAGTTTGTGATCAGTAGGTCGTATTTTGGTCTCTTTGTGAATAATGCTCAGATTAGACGACAGTCCATATCTGCTAAAAGACGCGTCCCCTTCGCCATATATTATTGGCGAACACGTTGTTGCCTCGTCCTCAAAACTCATTGTCATTGACAAGGTTCTTGCCGATACCCTGCCCAAAGGAGAACGTGTCTTGATATTTTCTGTGAGCTCTTCCAAACAAAAATACCTGCGCCAGCCCGAGACTTACGAGCGGTCGTAGCAATGGACGAGGTAAAGGGTAATTACACTTCTCGCTGATTACGCTTTGATGCAAGGGTGTTAGCATGCTCGATCTCCTGGAGGATTACATGGAACTGCGGTCAATACCATACGCTCGGCTGGATGGTGGAACAACCCGCCCTCGGCGGAATCTTGATATCAAACTGGTAGGAATGATTTTCTTGCCTTGCTAGCTGTCCGCTGATGCTTGCTGTCTGTAGTTTCAACAAGAGAAGTCTCGTAGGGTCTTGTTTAATCATTTTATATCTTGTGCTGAAAAACGTTCAGCATATCAAGTCTTCCTTGTTTCGACCAAAGCGGGTGGACTTGGTACGTGAAGTATTGCTCGCAAAGGGTTGATTTTTACACTTTGGTAGGTATAAACCTTACAAAGGCATCAACCGTCATCATGTGCGACTGTGATTGGAATCCTCAGGTGAGCATTCTGGGACAGATCTATTTGATGTCCGTTAAAACATTCACAGAACGATTTGCAAGCCATCGCTCGGGCCCATCGCATTGGTCAGACGAAAATCGTCAAGGTGTGTCCGATGCTATATCATAACTCACCCTACAAACCTTGTTCCTGTAGGTGTACCGCCTTATTTGTCGCGGAAGCGTCGAGGATCAGATGCTCGACCGTATTCGTCGCAAGATGTTCCTATCATTAAAAGTCATGTCTTCTTCAACGTCGTCATCTTCTGCCAACGAGGATAATACCCAACTGAAGACTACAGAGCTTCTGGACATTTTGCGCAAAGGTAGTAGTGCCTTGTCTCGGTCGGATGTAGGCATGGACTTGGGGACATTCCTCAAAGCGCCAATCCAAGAAATTCTCGACGACTCACGAGAGCGGGAAGGAGCGAGGGATGTGAAGCTGAAGAAAGAGATGGTGTCTTCGCATGATATTGCTGAAGATAACGATATCGATGAGAAAACGCTGCTCGATGCAGAGGAAGAGGAGCGAAAGCTTCTTAGTGGCATCGCTCAAGTACAGAGTAGACTCTTCGAAGGCAAGCTCATTAAACGCAATCAAAACAATCATCAGATTGCGCAGGAGTGGCAGGAACTACAGAAACGGGCGCGCATAGACAGGACAGTTGTGGTAGATGGTATCACAGTCATCGCTGATCATATGGGCCAGAGTGCGGTTCGTGTGGTGTTCTCTGCAGAAAGTAAGATGTACTGACTTTTACCTTTATCAGTCGGAGGAAACAAGTCCGGCCTCGAAAAAGAAGTCGAAAGCAAAGCACGAAACAGAGGATTGGTGCGTTTATTGTCGAGATGGCGGCGACGTGATCCTCTGTACCTCGTGCCCCCGAGGTGAGACTGGACGAGCGTGTGGTTTGGCTTGCTCTTGACACCAAATCACCAGTATTTCACCCCAAGTGTCATGGTATTACCGCAGCGCAACTCCGCAAGCTACCTATGATCTGTTGTCCCCAACACAAGTGCTCAGCTTGCGATCGCTCCACTGCTGAAGCAGGAGGAATGCTATTCAGGTGCATAAATATTCTCAACAATGACCCAGTCTAAGATTGTGTAGGTGCCAAACATGCCCACAAGCGTTCTGCGAAGACTGTATGCCTGAAGGGGAGATCGATGCTGTCGGGGAAGTGTTGCCCGAGTTGTAAGTGCATGATGTTCGACTGATAGGTTTCGCCTGACCTATCTCTGATTCTGCAGTGTGTTGTTGGGGTACGGTGCTACGAGTACAGCCTACTATATACGATGTCATGAGTGTCATGAACATTGGAAAAAGGAGCCGCAGGCTTGGAAAGCCTGGGAGGAAGAAATGGCTGAAACACAGGCAAAACTAAACTCCTTGCAGACCGCATAGAGCATAGGAGTGTGTTTACGTGCGTTTGATTTGGCCTCCAGCCCATGCTTTGTTAACTCACCACTCGTCTTCATTGTATGTATTTTATTTTTGAGCGATGTGGTCTTTAGTAGTCAAGCAGTGGAGTAATATTATGATCTCGGCGGACGTTGGAGAGCCGCCCCACAAAGTTCAAGTTTAGGCTTGGTGATCGAGATTGGTCCCCATGGTGTGACGTCACTCTTGGCGTGGCAGTATAAAACCTCACCTCTGCTCTGACGCGTCCGTGAACATCAAGAATGACGAGCAACTTACCACCGAAAATTACTCCTGTACCAGCTGGCACACCCTCTACTGAGTGGGCGAGCAAAACTGAATCCCTGTTCCAGCCCAACGTTGTTACCCCTGATCCCGCCATGAGGGCGACGTCTAAGCCTGAACAACATCCCATCACACCCACAACGAACTTGAACACCCCAGGTCACGAATTTCCGGGCTCGTATCCCAGGGAGCCTGAACAAGAGCTGCAACAACAATCCCGCGACGATGGGTCTGAGGGCCCCGCGGCCGCCGCCTCAGTTGTTCAGGCAGCGAAGCAGTACATTCCGGAACCTGTGGAGCGCACCGTCGAGTATGCTGGTCAGACAGCAGCTGCATACCTTCCTATCCCTCAGGGCGTCAAAGATTCGATGGCTTCTTATTGGTGTACGTGTGGCCCCTATCTTGTGCTTGAGCTGCCCTGACGGACTTTTACCAGCCAATGACAAGCATTCTCAACCCAAAGGGACCCAGTCGTTGGGCCAACAGCTGTCCACTTCTCTTCCAAGTTCAGAGTTAAAGGGCGCCCAACCTCACGAACATGTTGGCGGTGTTGGTTCCCTGCCAGGAACTATCTCGGAATCAAGCGTCGCCTTACTACCCGATGAGCGTGCAGAGAGAGATACTCAAAGACCAGTAAGATTGAAAAAGGACGAGTCACAAACACGAGGTGATAACGAAGCAAAGAGCGCCTATCCTCTCGGTGCTGCTGCGGTTGCTGCGAAGCCAGAAGTAAGTCAGGTCTGTCTCCACCTTGACATCTTCCCTTCTTTCGCGATGTTTATTTTGAGCGAGTCGATGCAAGCCATGATGCACTGCATTTTCGGCGCTGACTCGGAGATTGTGGTGTCCGCGGACGAGGGGTTGGGCTAGTTTGTTTTGTTTTGCTTCTCTTCCACGTTCTTCGTTCTCTCCACCGTACTGCCCTTTGGCAGCTGGCGTCTTCTTGACTCAGATGCATTTGTTGGGATTTTGCAGGAGCATGCTGCATTGTCGCGGGCTTGCTACCAGACACTGACGGGTTCGATCATGATCGTACCAAGTTATTCCCCGCCACTCTGCCGTGGCATTCAGTCATGATAGTTGATGTATTTGCAATTCCCCCGGGTACTTTTCGGATTGCTCCTTCGAATGTTGAGAAGTCGAGATGCCAATATTCCGGGGGCGTTTGAACTTGATGCGGGGACGGTTGGCTATGCCATGCTTATCTATCTTCTACTTCGGGCTTTTTTAATAGTGCCATGCTTCTTTGTTGTTAACCTCTCTTGGACGCTTCCTTGGACTTGCTCGTCCGCTGTTATACATTATTGCCTCGCTGCGTCTAGAATCTGACGGTTGTCCCCATTGTAGCCTTCTAATCTTTCGAAGGATCTGTCCTCTCAGGCTCAGTCTAGCCAATATGGGACGCAAATAGACCCTCAGCAACTGGACAAATTGCCTACTCAGCAAACAGATCAGTGTCCCGCAAAGCTTTCTGATCCAAAGCCCGTGTCCGTTGATCACACTCCGAGGCACGAAGTACCGGAAGGGCAACGTTCAGATGATGCTGAGACAGCTGATGTTGGCGGAGCCACCATAGGAGCGGCTCAGGTACGTGATCAGCCACTAGGCAAGACAACGGAGAGCAAGGCGGCCGAAACTGCCGGAGCGGGAGGCGCAGTAGGCGCCGGTGAGTCAACGAAGGAAGGCATGTACATGTCATCTGACGCTTATTCTATACGCTAATTACGTTCCAACTTAGCGGGCGTCGAGAATAAGGCTCGTGATAACAAGGAAGTTCCTGTGCACGGTCAGGAAGCCAAAGTGCCGCAGCAGCCTGTGGATGAAGAGTCGACAAAGAATCAAAGCGTCGAGAATAGGACAGGCGATGTAGGCAAGGTGACTGATAACAAGGGTAGTGATGAGCATATCAAGCACACCCAAAATGCTGGAGCACGCACTGGAGGTTACGATAGCGATTACCACCCAGCGAAGTTGCATCCGCCGCGCGCTGCCGAAAGCACGGACCAGGCGGCAGTTCAGCCTGACTCTCCCGTGTCGCCAGCATCTGCGCCTCCAGCAAGTGTTACAGACAACTCCAAGGAACGTCGGGTGAGTTTTCTGGATAAACTCCGGGGTGAGGCAAAGGTAATTGCTGGGAAGATGACTGGTAAGGAGAATAAAGTGGAAGAGGGTAAACGGATAATACACGGCGAAGTGTAAGCTACCACGGACCCGCGATTGTTTTCCGACTTGATTCAGTATCTCTCACACGTTAAGTGTTGTAATGTCTAGGAGGCCTAATGAGATTTCTTGACTCTTACCTTGGTCAGATACCAACGGAACGTGACATCATTCGCTGCCAGTTAACTAATCACGAGCCTTATCTTCAAGCTCCCAAAGACATGGTATAACGAGCAGCCTGATTGGCTGTGGCCAATTAGTTTAGGCACGTGCCACCACGATACTGCGGACGGCGAAACTTATAAGTGACTGAAACTGTGCCTGACCATATATGTCCGTAGCAGAAAGCCGAGTGAGCATTTCCTCTTCTATGCAGGCCCGGGTACCTGAAAGAACAAATGAAAAACGGCCCATGGGAGGAACTCCAAGGCTGTGACCAGGCAGTCATCGAATGAAAACGGTGCAAATGACCTCTTCATAGCATTAACTGTCACGAGCATTTTTTCAAAACACCCGCACGAAAGCCATCGAAAGATCCACGGAGATATAATGATGAGAGAATTGTTGCTTACTGAAAGCTGCTTAGCAGAGTTCATCACGATGAACATAGAAGTATGAACAGGGGCCCGGTGATTCACACATTGACAAGCAAACTTGAGCATGGGACAGCTCGCCACAATTGTTTGAAACAATCAGCAAAATTATTTTAGAGATTTGAAGGAAGTGCAATGAAAGACTCGGAAGTGATATGTGTAGATTATTCTGAAGGATAGAGTTATTGGATGAAACTTAGCGTCAAAGCCATCTAAGTAGAATTAACTTTGTCCCACACTTTCAACTTCAATTTAAGCCTGGATATCGATATTACATAATCCATCATGATGATATGGATGCAATCCGCAGTGATGCGAGACTCACTGATAGCGCCTGTCACTTATTTGTTTATCATGGCGTCCCGTTCTCGCTGCGCAGTACGGACTACAACGTCAGATATTACTCATTCAGAGTATACCACGCTGAAGTATCCCACCTGAGGATCAGTCCGGGTCTGTAGTTTATATGTTCCATCAAGTTCCCATGAGCTACATCGGCTACTAGCGACCGTCGTGCTCGGACCTCCGCTTATCTCCAACGTGGTAGTGCAACGTAGTAGTGCAATGCGCCAGTCACACTCTTATTCGTGTAGCACTAAGAGTTTCGTGACGAATCAAGTACGAAGCCAAAAATTGAATGGATCCGACGAATGCGCATGCGCCCGCAATTCCAGATGGAAATGAAAATATGGCGTCACTTCAAATTCCAAGAAGCGCACTAGCCTCACGGTCGCCACATGCCTGAAGTCACAAATAACTCGTACATATTTAGACCGAGGGCAAAAGTGGAGACTCAATAGAACAGGATAGAAGAGGAAGCTCACAGTGCTGGAGATGGCCGAGTATGTTAAACATCTAAGCGAGTGTGGAGTCGGCCTAGGTCAGCGTTATTAGCTCTAGTGCTCTCCGTTACCTCTGTTCTGGCTCTTGGGACTTATCCGAGAACCGAACGCCGCTTGATATGTTCTTCAATACGATGCCTTTAATTGTCACGCCGGCCGGGGATGCTGCACGGTCGGGAAGAGTATAGATACAAATGAAAAGACGAGTGAGAAAAATACTGGCGGTTACCAAGGGACAAAAAAATGAATGCAGTAAGTCTCTAACGTCCGAGGCCAAAAAAAAGACGTTAACGCCCGGGATGGGAGAAGTCCTATAACACAACTTTGAAGCTATTGAGTACTCGTCTGTCTTCTGCGGATAAGGGGCTGTAGGTCGTTGGAGAGGGATGTCCGAGTTGCACAGATGACGAGGAATTAGATTGTCGAAATTCTGGAGTATCACGTAGACCGGTCAGGATCGAAATGCTGGGTAGGGACGTCTCTGCATGTCCAGGTCCTATAGCAGCGCCCGATGACGGTAGAGGTCTTGGATGATGCTGAGTAGGGGATAATGGTATTGATGATGACGAGGAAGCGGGAGACATTGGGCCTCGGGGGACTCCTTGTAGCATAGAATACTGACTTGATTGGCCATGTACATGACCTGCCGAGTTGTATGGCTCCATTCCATCAGTGGTGTAAGAGAAGTGATCGGTGCGAGATCCGTTGGCTTTGCTGGAAACAAAGATGCCACCCGGAACCCTCAAATTTCGAAGGTAATCGTAACTCTCGATGACAGGAAGTCGAACATAGTCATCCCCCTGTTGCAGTAATGAACAAGAAGTCTTCTTGGACCGTGTAGACTAAGCTCACTGTAAAGTATGCAACGACATGCCATTTACGCGGAAGACTTGAGCCCGGAAGGTAGACTAATGCGGAGTAAGTTTGTTTCGTCAAACCATTCGGACGATTAGGACGATCTTTTCGTCTGTTTGTTGGAGGAGCTACGGCGAGTGGATCCGCAGTACGAAGCGCTCTACGATGTAGTGAGTACACTAAGAAAGATGCTGATTCAAACCGCAACAAATTACCTTAAAGCAGCTTTAGCATCTTTCTCCTCCTGAGTTGTCTCCATCTTCTCCTCGTAGAATAGGTAGTCACCACGCATCCGACTTTGCGACCTAGGAGACACAGGTCATGACAATATCTACACAAAAGACAATGTCGAATACCATCTACGCCCGTCTGTCCAGCGTAGGAGTCCTCCATCGTTCTCAGCCTCCTCCCAGACGAAGACGTTCCCGGAGGATAACTGCTCTCGTTCTGAAGCAGTGAGTCGCCGCTTGATCAACGGTAACATATTGAGGCGCACGGCCTCGAGGACAACGTGCGCGTCTTTGGCGTCCCGGACATCTTTGTAGTTCCTAAGACACAGAACCACTAGGGAGGAAACGATGACTCACGTAATGCAGGATGCGTCGGAGGTCCGTTGTGGACAACAGGTGAATTGGAATAGTAAGCCATTTTAGGTGGGATCTGAGATAGGGATCAAAACCCGCCATTCAAATGAGAGGGCTTTATAGTCTCAGGCAAGCTTGCCATGGACACTGAGCGGAAACGGAGATCTCGAATAAACGTGGATAATAAAGTCCTGGCATGAGACGAACAAACCTTGTTTCGATGACCCGCAATCAGGTACCCGCTCCAGAGCGTTTCGCGCGCTAAAGTTCTTCCTGTCGTAAAAACGCCTGTACCGATCAGCCGATTGTCCGAATAGGCAGAGAAGATAGATCGGCGAACATTCTCACATACAAAAATCAAGTGGTCTGGAAAGCTCGTGTGACGTTATTTGCCTTTGTAGTCAATTCGAGCAACTCAACACATGGACTATGTCCTAGAGAAGGGTCATTGGATGCAAGCTAAGTTGAGTATCGCATTGCCACAAGAAAATACAGTATCTGAGTCCTACATGAGAGCGAGTTGCAGCTTGGGTAGTCATCCACGTAATTCCCCACGAAAAAAGTTGGGTGTGTCAAACTGCTATTGATCAATAAGTATGCCGAAGGTTTTGTTTCAACAAAGTGACATGCGATTGACATCATCTGCTGTGACCACATCGTTGAGCCACTATCCTGATTGGTGCGTCCTTGCGTCAATGTCCAGAATTAGGACTATCGCGGCAGAACACCTCACGAATGTCCTGACCGTCTGTCAACTTTGTCACTACATGATGCCAAGTGCAGTCCCAATTAGTTTGCTTACCCTTGAATCACAATCATCTCGCGACCAAACAACATGTCTTCTGACTTGCTATCAATGAATATTTGGAGCGGTAACGTCTCTGAATAAAGCTGACACTGCGATGGTGGCTGAATTAGTGCAATCCATGACTTCATCTGAGAAAGATTTACCGGACTGAGAGTCGCTAACCCGAATCGTGATCACAAGTTAAGCAGGTCAGTGTATAGTTGACGTGGGAATCCGATTGCTGAGAAATCATCGGTTTTACCTCGTGACTAGTAGGTTAATTTTGTCCGAAACACGAAAACCGAGTCTGGATTATGGGCGTCGTCATTGAGACCTTGGAGCATTCTACAGAGAGAAACAGTTTTTGCCGCGCCAGAAAAGGATTAAGCTCTTCACTTCAAGCTTCAAGCTCCGAAGTAAACTCGAAAATAGACTTCCGCAACAGGGGTAGTATGGTAACTGGTTTTGCTTCTGACCACATCGTGAATATGACTGCGGTATGAATATTTAGGATGCATGGGTAGTTGGCCTAATGCTATGGATAGGAACCTGGAAAGGTGATGTAATTCATCCGTTCGAGAATCCAGCACTTGGACATGAGAAGTTGAGAACAGGTCAAAGTTCACTGCGAGGAATTAAGCGTTCCAAAAACAGAGTTCCGATCCGGACAACAAAATGGGCACTGCAACCGATTGGTTGTTCATGCATTATTCTCCCTGAGACTGCCTTCCAACACATAAGTGAGGAGGCCAACGGTAGTACAGAAACTTGTGCGTCGGCCTGCCCGCACAGATGCATATTCAAATTTATGACATGGACAGGTGTCTCACAGCGGCATTCCATCGTAGACAAGCCCCGATCCAGCTGGGATCAGTGATAGGTGTATTTATATGTGAGGTGAATGCGACCGACTCATCTTCTTTTCAGACTTCGTCTATCTTTATCGTGATACCGCCGTTGATGCGACTGGCGATACAACTGGATTTAGGCGATCGGCTATCAGTCTGGCAGTCAGAAAATACGACATAATATTGTCGCTTCTACCGCCACGAGTATCAGCGGCGCCCAGGGGACATCAAACTCAATTGGCAATGCGCCTAAAGAGAGGTCGCATAGTCTTGCGCAATTGAGAGAGAATGTATGGCGCTAAAAATAAACGGTAGGTTATCGAAAATAGGTTGTCCCATTTTTATCTTGCATATCACAGCAAGTACGTGTACAGCGCTGAATTGAAAGCTAGGAGATGATATGGCAGTGAGTACTTAAGGACGCCAGGCGTGGCGCCGATCCGCAAGTCAGAAGTCGGAAATTGTATAAATTCGCACCTGGGTAAGACCTCCAGATGTCCGCACGTTCTAAAAGCGTTATGACGTAGAGCCTGAACAAACCTCATCGTAACTTTTTGAGCAGCAAAACTCGGTACCGAAGCTGACAAACATTGACAAACACTACTCGAGATTAGACTCGGGAAAAAACCGTAACGGTCGGTGTATACCGGTATTCCATGATCTTGGGGAATGTTATATGGCATGTGAGTGCCGTGCAGCCATTTTAGAGTTTGAGGCCCCCAACTTACATTTTCTTTCGCCTATTTGGCGCCTCGCATGCCAGCGCTCCGTCACTTGAACACACCATGTCTGTTTTTGCCTATTCCAGGCATTCAGGGCAGGCTTTTTCAAACTTCGTATGATCAACGAGTGAATGAGCGTCAAACATTACCTGAAAGGCCTCCGACGTGACAGCTTCGACTCAAACTGTGATGACGAGGCAGCGCCACATTTCACATGTCAGTAGCACGCATTCGAGAAAGAAAGCGCTTATATAGGCGACCGTGGTGGAGCGTGCAAGTTAGCATATCCTGATGCGGGGAAGCAGTGGAATGCCCTTACTACTATTACCGTTTTGCAGAAGTTGCCGAAGCCTAAAATCCCTGGTGGACGCATGTAACTTGGTTCCTCTGGCTCGTTGCATTTTTAGACTATAGTGCATGCTTCCTCCAAACGCACGCGACCGTTTTCCTTGTCGCACTGCTGTGACATTTCAGTGACACGTGACTACCATTGTCCGATTTTGCCTATTTGACTCAGGGCCATTTTGGAGGTCCTGAGTCTGATAGTCGAACATCAGAGAGCAGCCGGGGGCCTCAAAGAATACTTATTGGGAGTCATGAGTATCCGTGGCGCAAGAAGCCACATGGACGAAGGACAACCGGTGATAGAGGAAAAATATTTAAGCCTTGCGATGGGACAGATTCAGAGTCCATGAGAAAGAGATGTACCTGTGCGCCCCGGCTGTGCAAGGCCGCCATCCAAAAACCATACCAGAAATTCGACCACAAGGTTTCGTATAGGTGGGATGCATCTGAGTCCTAGTGGCGGTGATGTGTAATCGTTGCGCTTGCGTTGCACCCAATGCAAAAGCAAGCCGGTTCAACGTTTTACGTAAATGTCCACATTAATCAGTTCAATTAGCGGTTTGCCAGCGACTACTCCGTCAAAGCGTCAGTGACTCTGCACTATTTTCAACTGAACGGAGATACAGCTAGTTGATATGGAACGAGGTGAGAATACTCCTCGTGGCAGGTCCTCAAGTTATGTTCACACCAGCACCATGATAATTTGATAAACCATGACACGCCAGGTCATGGCGGGCTCAAAGTGACGGCAGAGATGGAGGTCATCCTCAACAGCCAGGCTATATTAGCATTAAAATGGGTAGCGAGAAACTTAGAACTATGTTTCAGACACGTGAGTTCCTCGGATTTGATTGACAGTTTATACTCTTCAGCCTACCTGAGAACGACACTAACGCTGAGTATGCAGAGTTCAGCGAACTGGATATTAATAAACTTTCACCATTCGCATTCGCATGCATGACTGGGCAAATTCAAGACGTCAAAGCTGTTCGTCTCTATCCCTATGTCGTGTTTGAAATACTGATTCCCCAGTCAAGGCAGTCAGTGGAGGGGTTGCTCCTGATATAACAGGAGCTGAAACGCCCTTCAAAATTGGATTTCTTTCATTTACTGTTCTTGGTGCACAGCGAATCGGTGGACCCACTCCAAATTCTCTCAAGCATCTTGACGTTATCAACTATCTCCTTCAGTGTGGTGCACCACCGGATATGCCGGATATATCCGGCCACACAGCCCTCCACCATGCATGTACTCCTCCGCTTGGTCATTTTGAACTCGCCAAGGCACTTCTCAAAGGTGGGGCTAACCCGAATGCCCAGAACCGTTATGGCGAAGTTCCTCTCTTCTTCCCATTCCAGGGACAAGACATACCGATCCTAGATTTGTTAATGGAGCACAACGCTGATCTGGACATTAAGGACGGAAATGGTGATTCTCCCCGTGCGTTATGTGTTGTGTTTGGTCCCCAAGTCACGGCGGCAGTTCGCCGGTGGGAAAGGAAGCGATCGGGGGAGAAAGCACTCTGGGAAGAGAAGGAATGCGAGTATTGCAAGAAAAAAGAGAGAGGCCTGAAGCAGTGCGCACGATGTCACACAGTCCGATATTGCTCGTCTGACTGTCAGCGTAAGAGACCCTTACTGCCATTCCCACGTGTTTTTCCGACTCACGATTAATGCCAGGTATGCATTGGAAAACCCACAAACCGTTATGCCAGCCATTCTCCACATCAACCACGGTCACGCTAAAGCCAACCTATGGCGACTTTTCGTCTACAATATCTCGTGCTGATTTCACTCGCGAAGCCCTCGGCCTTTCGAGTCCCAAGTCCAAGTCAGCCAAAAACGCTCCGTATACTCGAATGTCCTTTGATCAGAAGTCCATGATCGTCAAGGTGCAAGTCCCTGTAGATCCATTCTCTCCGACTGCCACGTCGATGGGACTGGGCGGCTTGCTAATATACAACAAAAAGAAAGATTTCATATGCACCGTTCAACGAGCTGGAAACACAGACGCGTATGATGATATCGTCGGCGTGGTGAAATCCAGGGGTGTTGGAGGGGTGAAGGCTTATTTTGCGGCTGAACTGCGAACTCGCGATGAGCTTGTTGTCAAGATTTCAGAAACTTTAGCGGAACAGCCGTTCTAGACGGCTTTTATCATTCTACCAGCGCAACTCTCCATTCTTGGTAAGAATCGTCATGCACTTCTCAGGGGGTGACCGCCGCTCATGGACTTTATGAGCAGGAATAATTATTCTCGTCATTTGTGCCACAAAATGATCAATTCTACTTATTGCAAAAATAATCACACTCGTCGCACGGCAATACCAAAGTATACAAGGGCGAGTAGATAACTTGTACATCAACTCAAGTTCTTCAATCGAATACATCAAATTCTCCAATAATGACAGTGTCAGCGAAAGTTGAAATTGTGCTGTAGCCATTTTCAGGATATATTTTCCCGTTTTGGTTAAGGGTACGTGAATATCAATATGGAGAACTGATTCCCAGCTTATTGTGTATTTCTCCTTCGTGATATCGTGTACGAGGTGTTGGTTGGTATTGGGCCGCCAATGGCACTATCGCATGACCCGGAATTGAGGGGTACACTGTCCGCATGACGACGTCGTGCATGTGGAAAATGAGCTTCACATGAAATCGCATGCGGCTTACGCCTTACGCTGCAGGATTGTTTGGATAGAATGCGGAGCGCATCGTTTACGATGTTCCCTCGTGTTCTACGAATGGAACAACTGAAAATCAAGCACCTCTGCCTCAGGATTCGGTACCTGTAGGTAAGAGCGTGCGCATGATCTACATCATAGCCTACAAGATCAAGAAGCGACCGACTGACATCGAGGGAAACGTGCAGATAAGTCGGACAAGCATATGAGTTGGTGGGACACCACAATGGCGGAATTTGTCGTGTTCGTCGACACCATCCAGCTTACGGCAAACAGATTGCTGGGGACGCCCACGCGGTCTCTATTACTGTCCACTTCTATCTCAAACCTGCCTTCCCTGAGATATCAGGCCAATCCGACAACGTCGTAGACTCCATCCACTATGGGCGTCTCATCTCAGCGCCCTCGGCATCTTTTGCTGGTGTCCGTGGACTCGTACATAAGGTCACTCAGAAAGTGTTCGCTCTGGCCAGAGAGTGTGTTGTGTCGTCATCGACCTTCCGAAGCAGATTTTACTTGCGAATAACTTTGAGGTTGAGGTGATTATACATAGGGGCATAGACAGTTTACAGCAGGCTGCAGAGGTGTCTTTCAAAGACCTTGTCGTTCCCGTGCTGCTAGTTTGGTGTCAATCCCCCAAACGGCTTGCAAAGCAGAAGCTGATCACTGATCACGATGGAGAGTGGGCCCGGGGGACCCCTAGGCGGCGGAGTAGCACCCCGTGTAGTACCGTAGCTTAGTCAGCCACTCAGTGCTTTGTAGCAGCGCAGTGCTCTTCACTGGCTTCACTACTTCTTGCCTTGCTCGCGACACAGGCACACAGTCACGGATACACCGCTCCAATGAACATCACATTCTACCGGAAATCTTGTATGCACCAAGTGGACTACCTTGCAATCATTAAACAGATATTCGAGCTCTCTTCCTCCCGTCGCTTAATACTGGAGAATGACAATACTGAATACCACCATGACAAGAAATCGAACATACTGCATACCTCACGCTCGAAAAATTGGTTCTACACATCGTCCGTAGCACCATCAGTGAACCGGTGAGTTCTTGCTGGCCATTATGCTGATTGCGGTGCATTTACATGGTCATATATTGCTTTATATTCCAATGTGACGAAATCCTTTCCTATATATTACGATATATAACGATATATGACAATATCTTCTTCTCACCAGTTCTCTGATGACATGCCTCACATCTGATGCCATCGAAGCCGTGACTACACGCTCGCAGAAGCCCAGTGCACTGTCCTTCGCTCATTCTTCTGGTATTGAGATAACTCGGCTCTCGCTCTCGAGCACATTCACACCGTATAATCCAACATCTATTTCCAACATCAGGAAAGTCTACAATGACAATAAACGGGATTTCAGTTTTAAAAAAGGACTCGGTACCGCGATGCGTTCCGATCTATTCCGCTAGTTGAACCGTGTAGGAGATGTGTGTAACTTCACCGGTCACATACTCATGCATGCCATCCTGTCTTAGAAGACATGTGCATGGATGCATCGTGCATGCGACTTTAAGTTCTAGTGATGGAACACGTGTCGACTACGTCGGCACCAACCGTGTAGAGAGAAAATCAGCTTATCAGTTGTAAAAGGACTGGGTGGTACATATCAGGGCTCGCGTGCCTCCTGATGAGTGCAATGCCCTTCACGATTCCTGTGGGCTGATGCAAGTTAGGGAGTGACAAAAGAACAAAAGACATGCGTCTCAAGTCACTGATTAAAATATGCTTGGGAAACTAGTCAACGCAAGAGAAAGGATAGAACACCTTGCGGCTGAAGTCGTATCCCAAGTCGGGCGCCATGACGGGGGATTATAAAATATCGTCGTGGTATTATTTAGGGAGCTATGGCGTTCAGGAGCTGAGCTTGAGAAAAACCAAGAGTCCAAGTGGTCAAAGACTCGGTAGTGAGACGTATCCCAACACGAGTTGTTCTCGAAACCACTGGGGCGCCAATACGCATGCCAACCGTGTGATGATGCCGAGATGTCAAAGCCTCTACGATTCCGAATGACATCAGTAAACCGGTGAGACGGCGGCCATTGCTCAAGCGCTCACTTCCCATGAAGCAGCATCAGTCTAACTTTTATAACCGGGCTTTCTGTCCTTGATAACCTCGTCCAAAGTGTAGACAAGCTCCATGCTTGCGACCTCGACAACAATTGAAGATACGCCATAGGTCATTGCCAATGAAGCTAGGTTCGTCCGGCGACGTCCAGATGTATCGATTTTCGAAGCAGAGAACATGGAAACTTGGCGCTGAGAGGTCTTGGGTATACATAAGCTGGCGGAGACAAGTTGCGGTATTGTGCCCACTTCTTATCTCATCTCTCATTTCATAATGACACGTCTAGCATATCTAGGCCACGGACGTGGTTCCTCGACAGGAGTTCAATCACACGTCATTAATGAAAATAAGCTTATTTTCGGAGGGTATCGGGATATAAAGATACAAGTAAGCGTAGACGAGAGCAGTAAGAGTGATGTCAACAACGAGATTCTCATGGTGAAGATGAAGATGATGATGGCGAAGTACAAAGCGCTCTACTAGGGGCAAGGTCGACAGGCAAGGGGTGTATTACAATCAAGCACAGCAAAACACAAATATCAGACTTCACCCAAGTTACCCGTCTTCATTTCCGTTGTCAATTGATGAGATAAACCGAAGAAGCAGAACAATAACTCACCTCAAGCTGGTCGATATCTATACCTGGAACCGGTTTTCCACAGGCACGAGCGGAGACAGTGCTGGCTGTCGTTTTACTCTGGGTCCCTCCACTGCTGTCCCTGTCACTTGAGGACTGCAAACCAGTTAGGTTGATAGTGTTGACACGGAAACTAGTACTGCCATCGCGAGTGTGGTTACGTCCTCGCAGGGCACTTCGGCTATTTAGGGATGCAAGAAGGGAATTGGCATATACTGCAGAATAAAAGGGTGAGACGTCTTATTACCTGAGATACGTGGTTACACTCACACTTTCCGATAACGAAATCTATCGCGATGAACCACAGACTGCCTGGGATGATAGCAAACTGTGTGGCAAACAAATATCAGCTTCAAAAGTATTGACCTGCTTCGTTCGCCTGAACTTACTGCGATGACTTCCGCCACGGCAACGACTCTGGAAAATAAGAAGTCAGATGAATATCATCGCCCATGTCTATCAGACAAGAGACTTACGAAGTCAGTAGACAACGATTGATGGCGTATACGATCAACGTATTAACAAGTGTGTTAGTCCTGATAACAGTCAATATCAATCTCAGCGATACCAGCATGCGGGATTGAAACCTACTCGACGACAGGACTGCGATTGCCGTGGAGAAGAATGCACAGTGAACCAGCAATGAAAACATCGGACAAAACAGCAGTAATAGCGAAAGGCGTAGCAGCATAGAGCTGAAAACTGTCAGTAGGACACATAGTCAAACTAGTCTTTCAGCGTACAGTGATCTCCGATAGCGCGCTGAATTGCTTCTTGATGAACCTGAGAGGAATTTTATTACATTTGATACATATTGAAGAGAGTACTCACATGAAGATAACTGTCTCTACTTTGGCTCAGCGCATCGTGTGAGTGAAATGAGAAAAGGAAGCCTACCTAATCCAAAGGCTAAGTCTCTGATCAATGAGCTGCTTTGACGAGTCGTATACGGAATCTTACCGAAGTGTGCGAGAACGACCAACATCTTGAGATGACAAAACACCATTCAGTACCAAACCACCATATGGACCAGAGAGCTTCAACTTACAAGAAAGGATGTCAGCCACCATCGGATCTTGGAGCGGGTTACTACCCCGAAAAGATTCAAGATAAGCAAATCAACTGAAACGAAATGCTTACGGTGGTATATCCGAAAAGCAAAGTATCTGACAAAAACACTCAGGATACGTCTCTACAGACCGCTAATGGAGCCGTCACGCACGTTTGCACGAGCACAGCCATGACGAGCTACTTCCAACGTTAGCTTCAGGAAGACTCAGATGGAAAAAGACTTGCATTTAGACCGAGCGATGTCTGATTCCACATATGTCAGATGTCGAATTACACAACATTAAACACTCACAAAAAGGGACCTAGGATGCACGACTCAGCACTAAATCATTGCGATGTTCGGGAAGTACATACCAAACTCCAGTTCCAAGGTTATCCGGGTCACCAAAATTCGTCACCTATCCCGAATCAGAATCTCAAACACGAGAATCCAGTTGGTGCGCACAAGGTAGTAATACAGAGCATGACACACTTGAACGGGAATCAATTCAGTAAATGTCAATATAGGCGCCCATCCATTACTCACTAAAGGAGACGTGTAGAGTGTCGATGACCCTGCAAAGCAATCAGGAGAGCACAATCCACCAAACGCAAAGAAAATCACCAGATGGACGCAACCTGTAACACTTCTGTAAAAAGCCAGAATCCAGCACAAACCAGACACGACGCACCAGTACTTTCAGGCCATGGGTATCTCTGGGGTAATACACATAATACAAGTATGTCTTGCAGGGGTTCGAGGATAATTAGTAAGTGCTACCACTTTCAACAGATGACATACGACGTACCTGCAGAGTCGTGATACCATATAAGCTGTAATTATCCAATCACATTGTCAATCTAGGCGGAAGAATACGGACTCTCGACGTACATTGCAGCTACCATACCCCCGATGAGCCCTGCGCCTACAAAAAGGTCAATTCCACCCCTAGGGACAACGTTACGAACAAAACACTCACCAAACGTATCACGAATGTCTACCGCCATAACAAACAATCAGTGTATAGAGAGGAAGAACACGTTTTGAGGTGGCTGTATACCACCAGGCATTTATGATGCGGGGTGTCAGGTCCCAACAGATCAAGTATCTACGATGGAAGGCTTAAAGAGGGAGCTTATCGGTATTAAATCTTTTTGGCGCGGTTTGCACGGGGACCCTAGGCCTGGCTTTTAAGTTGGCGCTCAATACCCACTTGATCTCCCAAACTAAAAATAACTTGACATTTCCTCTCATCGTCGGGAAAATGCTCACCTTGAGGCCTCCGTAGTGCACTTGGTTGGACTTGGCTGGGTAAACATTTGTTGTGCAGTTGCCGAAAAATCAATTGTTTTGATCATCATTAGAATCTGATGCCAGGCAGTTGATCACGGGCCTCAGTTGATGAATGGAAGATTTCAACTGTCCGCTTTATTCCATACATGGCAGTGTCATCCTGTGTCACTGGTCGGACATTAGCCTGCAGGTTGCATAGACCTATCTGAGTTCTAAAGCTGTCAACACCCTTGCTTGGCATAACTCGCTGAGCCGATGATGGAGAAAGCGATGCCCCGAAAGAACCCGAGAGTTAGACATGCCATTTATGAAATACAAAAACGTCTTTTCAGGTAACAGACACAGGTTGGAATCCGCTATGCTGCGGTCAGTACCTTTAGATCTAAGGAAACACAGCCAAAGCGGAGCACCACAGCACTTTCTTGCACTGGACCTGCAACATATACTCGATCATTAATATATGCGTATATCCATAGTGTGGTATTCACACGAAATTGACCAATGGCTGTCCACTACGTCGTCATATCCACGCCACCACGGAGCCTCCATCGTGTGTACTATTACACCGCGAGGTGTAATCAGCGTAGTGCTTATTTAACATCCGAATACCCAGGAGCACCTTGCGGGTCCGAGATGAAGATGTTGTTTCCTTTGATGTTGATGAAGGAGTACTACGGGGTTGGTTAGTTCATATTCAGGAATATCGAAGCTCGACAAACCTCTGCGAGATCCGTGTCTTTTCCTCGGTTGTAGTTCTGGTATACGAGGTTTATCTGAATAATACGATGTTGGATGGAATGTGCGATGCGTAGATTCAGTACGCACCTCATTCATAAATGGTCTCAATCCAGCTTGCTCTAGCATCTCCCACCAAGGCAAGAAATCCTCGAATTTCTTGTCCCAGGCGTGGATCTCGACTATAAGCTGTCCGAATGGTAGTGGTTCCCCGGACGAAATGTATGGTTGTATGATCTGTGAGAGTGTCTCAAACTCCCAACCCTCTATGTCAATTTTGAGTACGTCAATATGCTCATGCTCTGATCAGAGCACTTTATTAGCAGGAAATGGAGCGGAGATAGAAGGGCATACGAACTGTTAATCTGAAGCAGTGTCTTGAGAGTATACAGCTTAGGATTATTGTGCGATTCATGCGAGTCGAAGTTGGCAAGGCCCCATGAAAAGAAGTGTGCGCGGTAGTTGTTCTTGATGTGGGATCCAAACGAGTTGGAGCGATAGTCGTATCCCCAGACCTGACAGTGCCGTGTCCGTTCGAGGAGCTCTGCCTCGAAGGTTGTTTCATAGTTCATACCTGCGCAATTGCAAATGAGTATTAGTCCGAAATGAAATGAATGAACAGGCACACCAAAAGTGTATATGATACAGTCAGGTTTGTGCTCCAGTCGGGACATACCACATGCCCACTTTCCGCCATCCCCCAGTGCACCTATGCGCTCTAGTTCGTGCGGACAGTCGAAAGACGGAGGAAAGAAGCTCCCTGAGAATGTTGGTAAATGCCTAATGGCAAACGGAGATCTTCATCGACCAAACTCACAGACAGTGTATGCTGGCCATGGATCTTTATCTGGTGGAAACCTAAAACATAATTGACTCTCCATAAGAGGACTGGTGAGCCGGTGGGACGTACATGATGATATCGCGAGAGGTTGTGCCATATCTTTGTATTAGGTCCTTGCGACTAGCTACTAATCTCTGATAGACCCTTTCTGCTCGGTCAAGTCGTGCTGGAAGGGTACTGTCACGGATAGTAGGCATGCATACGAGTCGGTGGAGAGCGGTGATTCGTATGGACTGAGTAGGAAGAAGGTTGCTGTGAGAACCAAGGCCACGAGGAGGAAATATCGAGGATGTCTCTGCCAGACTATAGGCATGACAGATGTTAATGATTAGGTGGTCGGTAATGACAGGACTGAATGGGTATACGCTGGCGTAAATGATATGTGGGGAATAATGATAACCAACGAGAATCGTGTACCCACGCGCTGCGGCGACACTGGCTGAGTTAACGCACTGATTGTATGTAATTAGCTGATATGCTGTTCAAGACTGTGAATGACACTGACCAAGGCTGCAGAAAGATGTAGCTCCCTGTTGGCTCGTTATAGGATTCTTTGAAGTTAGCACGCGCAGTACATATAAACCGTTGTCTTCACGGGCGACGTGGCGATGAAATCTTTCACTTGGATTACGACATTTAAAATGGGTCTAGGCTTAGATTAGAAACAACCCCAAGTTGGCAAGCTAGCAAATTCTGCTTGCTCACTAATTCCACCATGTCCTCCAACAGTGATATGGAAACTATCTACACGCGTACTACCGAAGCTCCTTTGAAGGAACCAGACCATTTAGTACGTCCATTCAGTGTGCCTATTACATATTCTCGACGACATGTGATAAGTACAGCAAAACCGGAAGGATCAAGGTGATGTATCTGATAGCGAAAGCCAAGCACTAAAGGAGAGGCTAAAAGCGGCTGAGAAGATGTTGAGACTCAGGGAGGATCAGGTGATAGCACGAGAGGAAGGTCTGACGACGATAGAAGAGGGTCTGAGGCTGCGTAAGGAGGACTTAAAGTTTCGGGAAGAAGACCTGAACATTCGAGAAGAAGAATTGAAGGTACGAGAAGATCAGTTGCACATGCGAGAGCAAGAAAGGAGTCGAGGTTTGCATTCAGTGTGATTCATCCTTGATTTCATCTCATGTCCTCTGCAGCGGAACATGATGTCATGACCCCTTCTCGTCCGGGCCGTTAGATTTGTAATTCCATCATCAGCGACTACAACTCTGTTCAATTTATTATCATGGCAGATTGAACCATCTTATACAAGTGAGCTCAGCAACCGGTTTCACAACTCACTTGATATGCACAGCACATTCCACTAGACAGCGCCAGTGACGCAGATGACGACCATTGCCAATTCACGTGAAACGGCGCATGTACCTCAATGAGGCTACTATTGAAAGCCTCGAGGCGAATCAACGTGGCAAGCACCTCCGAGAAGCAACTCATTGCGTTTGGCAACTTGATTGGCTTGTCCAGCGATCAAACACAACCCTCTCTCCATGGATTTCACAACCGTGAAGTATTCACCGCTCCCTGAGTTCGCTGTAGTCTCGTTTTGTTCACACATCATCTCCATCGCCGCTCACTCCTTCAACCACATTACACAAGGCTCCATTACTTATTTGTAATTTATCGGCAACGGGAATGGTAACATGCCGCATGATTTCATTTAGGCGAGAAGACCGCTGCCTCGTGCCTACCCTTGTAGTGCATATAAAGCCCCACATATCTGTAAACACACCTCGTTGAGTCATCCTTACACACTACCGCCATGATCCACTTCGTACGAGTCTTCGTATACTTCCTCCTGGTAAGTTGCGAGCCCAACGCATGTCTTTCGAGATGCTGACTTCATTGTCCAGTTTCTCTTCTCAGTCGTCCTTATGGCGCTGTGCGCAGTAAGGCTACACTACACTTTACACCTGTCGCCACATGACCCTCTGAACGGAGGCGTCCGGTTTTACGGTACGTTTATCATTACGATATAAGCGCCCAATTCCTCACTTAAGCCCGTCAAGATCACATCGTGGTCGAACTGCTCATAACATCCATTATCACCATATTCTGGTCTACGTTTATGTGCGTATGATCCACATTCATTCCCTCCGAGTTTAACCCCACTCGCATCAGTGCCCGCACCATACACGGCAGACACGAGCATCGTAGGATGAACACCTTCACCGCAGAGCTCGTTGGTCTGTTTATCCTTTTCCTTCTTTGGCTCATCGGCGCTGCCGTTGCCACAGTACGTCATTCCACCCCTTTCACCATGATTCATAATACTCACACTGGGGCGCAGCACACTAGCAACCCACCTGATGTTGACGTCAGGTGGGGTAACCTTTCTTCCTGCTGGACGTACAGCACGTGTAGGATCCTCACTGCGCTACTCGCATTCGCTTGGCTAGGCTGGATCCTCGTCTTAGCCCTCTTCGTGATGTCATTACTGTTCGCGATTGCCAATAAGGCATTCCACGATCCGATGCACGGGCGCTGGGACCGCCGCGCCACAAACTACGGAGGAGACCTGTCCATGCGTAACATCGTCAGGTGAGGAGGGTGACGTCAGAGGAAGGAGGCATGGATACTAATATCCGAAGTTGAATGATGTGGAGCGGGGAGCTGTGGCGAGTCTTTCTTTTAGGTGTGGAGAAGTGGACCTCGCGAGATGTGCTATTTACATGATGACATTTACATTAACTTTACGATACAACACATCCATGGTAGCACTTATGCAACGAAGATTCTGCGAATCGTCGCAGGTCATACCATTGAAAGGAAAGGACAGCATAGCTACAGTCTGAGAGACAGAAAGTTTTCGTAATACAAAGGATTTTCGGCGCGATTAAAGTGCTATTAGTACACTTCCCTAATATGTCATTATATCATTCAATCAGCGTTCTCAGCTTCAGTCATGCGGACCCATAGACCGCCCTAGCAAATGAATTTAGTGACACAGAAACGAAGGAAGAGGAGAGCACAGTACATGGGCATACATCGTCAAATGTGCTTTCGGCCAGAACTGTTCGCGTGATTTGCGACCTTCTGCTTGAGCCCAATCAGCAGGCGGAAGAGTATCTGGATGTTGCGCTTCGGGGTGGAGAGTGATAGAAGAGAAGGATTGGAGGAGGCGGATGAGCATGAATGACATCTCGTTGTAAGCGAACTATGAGCTGAGGGTCAGGAGAATTTCGAAGTGAGGAATAGGAAGGAGTGTCACCTGTTGCCCAAGACAGATGCGGGGGCCGGCGTTGAAGGGGAGGAATATGAAAGGTTTGGGCGTAAGATATTTATGTAGCCGTTCGTCAAGGAAGCGGTCGGGATCGAACTCATCGGCTGGCAAAATATCAGTGCGTGTAGACAAATCATTCGAAACAAATGGCGTGCGTACCATCAGGGCCCCAAAGATCTTTTCTACGATGCATTAGAAAAACGGAGTAGCTGACACTAAAGCCATTATCTGTGTTACGTTGCAACTTCTGTGAGGAAAACACTACTGTACCTTGTCTTTGGAGGGACGTATATTGGCTTATCCAAGGGACTGGTTGCAGGTAGAGTAGATGCTTTGACACTTTCGCTATTATGATGTGAGCATTTCGTAGGAACGTAGGATACCGAGCATACCGAACATTGAAAGGTCTGAAAAATACAATTAGACTGGTTAAAGATTCCTGATTCAAATAGCTTACACAGGAGAAAAAACCCTCATAGTTTCTGTAAAGTGAACATGTCAGAGATCAAGTGAAAACAAGCCACAAAAAATCGAGTATACCGTTTATAACGGCGCGGAGGTACTTCATCTCACGGATGTTATCGTAAGTCGGTCTGTCCGTAGGTCCAACTTTTGTCATGACCTCCTCTCTCAGGCGGGTCATCACATGCGGGTGCGTGGAAAGCAGATATAGGGCAACAGTGAGCGTCCCAGCAGTCTACGTGCATAGTAATTAGCTGATATTCAGGCGAACGCAAACAGCAGATTTACCGTATCCCTACCGGCGATCAGGATGTTCAAGATCTCATCTTTCAGAACCACGGGATCTTATTACCAGAAAATTCAGTTTCACGATACGCGAGAGTGCTGGCGCCCTACCTGTCGTCATCTGGACAAGTTGGTCCAGTAATGTCGTATCGTCGTCATCAACATTTTTCTTTCCACTGGTATGAGACTGCTTCTTGGCAATAGCTTCTTTCAAGATTGGATCAATGAACGAGTTCACGATTTGCATAGGCGCTGCGGTGGCGTCCTTGAAGATCTCAAACAAAGGCCAGACCCAACTTTTGCGGGGACGCTGGGCGATAATTGTCTGTGCATCTGCGAACGCCTGAGCAAAGTCTTGAGCTATCTTTGCCTTCCCGGTAAGGGCTTCCGTCGTTGAGATATTATGCGGGTAAGGTAGTCCTGCAGAAAGACTGTGCACACAATTGCCAAATAAAAATTCCGTGGCGGAGTCGAGCGTGAAACGCGACATCAGGTCCTATAATTTTGTGTCAATATTGTGATGTCATAGTAGGATATGTTTGGCAGCTGACCTGAAAGTCAACGGGATATCCGGCACGGAAACGGGCCTTCATCTGTGTGATAGCGTCTTCGGCATAACGATCGAAGGTATTGAAGTGACTGATTCGGTCATGGCTGAAGAAAGGCCTTGTCATCGAACGATGGAATTTCCACATTTCACCTGTTTTAAGCGCGCTGTTAGTCGCTTGGGAACCGAGTAGAAGTTCATTTACCGTCAGAATTAAAAACACCCGTTCCGAGAACACTTGACATCGAATGCCTGAACTTATCCCCTGTATAGAACGTTTAAGACGCCGATCACTGGAGATACGATCGACTCGTCACCTTTGACATAGTTTTCAAATTCGGATGCTAGGATAGTCTGAGGATCGACATTATCAGTACCATACCTTCAATGAAGAAAACATCAGTATACCTTGATGTGGCTGGGTTCCACGGTAAATATGACGTCCTCGAACATGACATGGAGGTTAAAGCAAGATCCGAACTCTGCAACTATCTCCGCCAGTCCATCACCTGATCAAATAATTCAGACAAAATCAACACGCAGGAATTACAGATAGTCATACCAGGATAGCCATTATTGAATCGATCCATTAGTTTGAGCATGATGTCGTAGGTTACCGAATCGTTTGCCCTTAAGAGGGGACGCAAGGCGGGCACCCATTCTTGCAGCTTGTCGACGACGACAATACCGACGTACAGGATGCGCAATGCAAACCCGATAGGTAAACTACTGGTCGCACCCAGTAGCAAAATCCATGGTGGCAAGGATATACCCGACCTTGTCGCGAACCGCGCTAAGCAGACAGTGCCAAAATATAGAGAGCCTGCTGATACGACTGTACGACCAAGGAATGATATTCCCGGTGTGATCATCTTGACTTACTTTCGGCGGCAAGTGATGATGACAGCAAATTCAAATCCAGGTGCGACTCGGGAGGATGAACAAGAACTGTGGGTCAATACAGAGAACTAACGGGTATAAAAGCATTTTACAAAACGTTTGATTCCGTTCCTCCGTCATCGAGTGACGTGAGACAACGTCCGCATGGACAGTGGAAAGTTCTATTCCTTTGGGTTTCATTCCCCACACAAATGACCATACATGGAGAAAATTACCATAGTTTGAGGTGGCGAACATTCTACCTTAAAGGAAGAACGGAAGAAGGTTGCGGCGTGTGCTAGTGCTTGGGGTATGATCCGGTCACTCTGGACTCTCATTAAAGCAGATGCTAAGACAGATTAGCCTTGAGTTAGCGTCAAGATTGGGCGGGCGCTCGGGCATCATCTTCGGGGGTAGAAGGTTTGAGAGGAGCTATGAGATGAGAGTCTCAATCGCAGGGTCTTCAGGTTGCCTCTGCAGCAATAAGTTACATATCAGTTTAGACGTCCTCACCCATCGGACACGAGACCACTAGACCATACTGTGCGATACTATAAATATTAATAACTTACCTTGAGACTGCTGTGATATGAGTGACCCCAACAATAGCGAGGTACAGTAAAATGAACGATAATCTGCACACAATCTGGCCAATCTAAACAAATATGTCAAAACATATCTGGATTATATCAAGATATAAAATTGCAAAATTTATTAATTATTCACAAATGCTGCGGACTTCCATGACTAGCACTGATCATCATCAATGCAACACTTACTTATGTAACTTAAGGCTGTAACATATGGGTGACCCCATGATGTGAAATTAGATCACCGCAGTTTGAACTTGGTTTGAACGCTTTCCACGATAGCGACCATCATCTGTATCAACTAGGTGGCAACTTCAAGTGCACGAGTGCTAGTACTCCTTGGGTTTTATTGCCAATCTGGGTCACCAACTGGTAATTAACTCCAAGCTATGTCCCGATCTTGGGTCAGTCCTGGCGTAGCCTACCTCGCACGGGGCTTGCTTTCCGTCGTTGTTCCGGTCGCTTCCTCCGTCATCATCGTAGCACGCCTGACCTCTCTAAAAGGCATCCGAGTTTCTCCATGGCTTATATCTGCAGTGGTTTTGGGTGCAGCACCTCTTGGGTTTGCGGCTTACGTTCTTGTGGATGAAAGATCGCAACAACGAAAGGCCAATCGACTCGGTGCCAGACTTGTTCCTCGTGTCCAGGGCAAATGGCCTGGAAATCTGGACAAGGTAGTTAACATGGTCCTGAGGTCAGAGAATGAATACCTAGGCATGGTCTCTGTTTCGTGCATTCCATGCTTGTGCTTTACGGAATCATCCTTTTGTGTAGGACGACCTTTAGAGGACGAGATCAAGGTACTCGGGCCGACTATCAATTTTCGTTTTTTTTGGGAGGACCTTATCCTGACCACGGAGCCGCAACACATCAAGGCAAGCTTCAATATATACTAGAAGATATTTAATAATCGGACGCCACATAGACTATTCTCGCAACTGACTTTGATAACTATGTTAAAGGTATGCACCTTAGATGCCGTCTGTTGACATGTAACACGTGACTCGATGCAGGTGCCAAGTTCCGAGAAGCAGCTGACTCTGTCCTTGGAACGGGCGTATTTAATTCAGATGGTAAGCGCGCATTGGCAGGCCTTTTATGTTGTGACCGACTGACCGATTGGTTGTGCCACCAGGCGAAATCTGGAAGTGAGCCATGAATTTGAAGATTACCTTTGATAGGGAATCTTAGCCTGTGTATTTCCAGGCTTCACCGAACCATGACACGGCCTTTCTTCACTCATGATCGGATAAGTCACTTTGAGATCTTTGACCGTCATGCGGACCATGCTATCGTTTTGGCGAAGGAACGTTTTAGAGCGGGCTTGACAGTCGACTTCCAAGTACGGGCTCCTTCAAGCTGGCATTTTGACATCTTTTAATCCCATCACAGGATCTCATCTCGAGATTTACGCTTGATTCTGCATCGGAGTTCCTATTTGGGCACTGTATCGATTCACTTTCGCTGGCCTCCCTTACCCCTATAACGCATCAGAATTCACAAATGCTATTCAAGGAGACAACGCCGCCGCCGCCTTCTCATATGCTTTCTCTCAAGCTCAACAGAGTATAAACCGGCGTCTTTCTATCGGGCAGACCTGGCCACTTAATGAGATTCTTGCTGACAGCACTGAGCTACATATGAAAGTGGTAGACGCGTTTTTAGATCCGATCCTCAAAGACGCTCTGGAGAAGAATAGCACAGCTGTCGAGTTTGATAAAAATGAATTCTCAGACGACCAAACCCTTGTTGACCATCTCGTAAATTTGACGTCAGGTGAGATAGCGTGTTACCATGGAATTTCTGTTGTTGAAAATCTCCTTTTCAGATTTTAAAATCATCAAAGATGAGACGTTAAATATTTTACTTGCCGGAAGAGATACGGTAAGCTTGCATTTACCTTTGAATCATCCTACCAGGGTCTGTAACGAAGGATAATTATTAGACGGCTTCAACATTAACATCAGCTATTTATTTGTTGGCAATGCATCCAGAGTTCCTCACTCGGCTCAGAGAAGAAATCATATCGAAGGTTGGGCTAACTCGCAGGCCCACGTATGATGATATCAAGGAGATGAAGTATCTCAGAGCCATCCTCAATGGTGCGTATTCTCGTTTCCCATCGTTCGTGGGAATATTGCTAACCTATCTTTAGAAACACTGCGTCTTTTCCCCGCTGTGTAAGCAATTGAATCTGATCTCAGACGTATTTTACATCGTACCACAACCGCGTAGCCCCTTTGATGTGAGGTATGTTATTAGGCTACGTCGAAGATGCCGGACTTGACCCGCGAGCTTTTAGGGAAAACATACAGGACACTACATGGACATCCCCCGAACATGGGAAGAAGCCACTGTTTATCCCACAGGGCACCATGTATGCATCATATCTGATCGTCTAGATTCGTCGCATGATTACTTGAACAATTTCAGGCTCAGCTATTCAGTGTTCCTTATGCACCGGAGAATCGATCTATGGGGACCAGATGGTAAGTAAATTTCATTCGTTTACGTATACATTGTCGATTCAATCGGACCCCGTACTCTAGCATTGGAATTCGATCCGGATAGATGGCTCGACGAGCGCGTGAAGAAATACCTGATTCCCAATCCTTTCATTTTCCTGCCATTTAACGCGGGACCCAGAATCTGCTTGGGGCAACAAGTATGTCGCTTATTCATTATTCCCACCCATCTCATGACCCCCCTTTCCCCCCTCAGTTTGCATACAACGAAATGTCGTTCATGATCATTCGTTTACTGCAAAACTTTTTCACGATTACGCTGTCCCCCGAGCCTGCGATGCGCCCACCTGCGTGGTGGGCTGAGAAAGACGGTCGGCAGGCCATCGAACGATTCAGGCCGAGGAACCACTTGACACTTTATGCCATGGCAAGTCTTATTTCGAGGTGCTTTACAGCGATCTAATCAGGTTCTACCTCGTAGGGTGGTATGTGGATTAAGATGGAAGCTGTAGATGATGTCGAAGTCACAAACTAATCATGACCTTGATGCTGTGGGACAATACTGTAAGGTTATTCATTTCACTGACGATTTTGGCTTTCTATCTTGTTGCTATTGCTGTTATTGTTAAATATGAACACACGCTATATTGCGTGGAGTATCACTCAAGTTCAGAGTTATAGGAATCGCTTGACAGGTACTCTGCGGCTGAACTTAATCTGTGGTGATCGCGAGTCTCGCAGATTCTCAACGCTGTATCGTCATCTGTACCGCTATCTTTGCTCTCCATTGTTAAGGTGGTTCGAAGTAACCGCCTGAATACGTCCAAGCCTAACCTATGTATGATAGGCCCTGCGGAGAAGTTTGAGCAGCTGTCGTCCAATGTTCAGGTATGGTGTTGCTCAAATAACAAAACTCAATGGGTACTAGCTGATACATGCTCTTCCATCAGTGGCAGTGACTGCAATGCTGTCGTGAACCCGAATTGTTGCATAGTGCAATATCGGCGAAGCTGATCAGGACATTCTCATACCTGCCTATAGTTGGCCTAGCTTTCGAGACGTTGCGTCAATGGGTTGAATTACTATGCCGTACTGCAATACAACAACATGCACTATCCGAGTCAGTGTTTTTTTTTTTGATTCATTGCTTAATGTCCGTTGGGATCTGTCGGTGAGCTGTGAGCTTCTTTTTGTCGCCAAGCCCGGTATCCCTCGGTTTCTGGTACCTTGCTATCAGTCGGACCTTGCACGATTCCTTCGAAGAAGAGTTTATGGTACGACTTTGTTGTCAGCTAGACTTTACCTTGGTTCCTTCGAACAACTTCCAACCCTGAGCCAAATATCCAACAAAGTCCGCACAAACTCACAACATCCACAATGAACAGATCCCCAGACTCTAATACTCAACATGTTCGCTTCGGCTTAACGTTGCAGCCGTCACTGAGCGGTAAGATATAACCCGCGTATCCCCGCCACTTGCATGTTTGCTCCTTTCGTCACCGTTTCCTTCGTTGGTGTCTCCTTTATTGGTATTTTTCATTAATACTCTCGTTGTGGACGTCACGATGTGGCGCTGTTGACGTGGCAGTGAAATCTTCAGATGATGTTGCCCTAGTATGTAGTCTGAGGATCAGAGGCGAGCAGGCATGCAGGGAGTGAGCTAGATAGAATATATATTATCTCAGTATCTGGAAGAGACTCCTCTGCACATGAATAGGTACCTAGATAGAAGATCATGTACTTTAATAGTATATTAGTGTGAAGGGAAGAAACTATGACACTGCAAGCCAATCTACACACTCGATAGTGCACCAGACTTTGAGCCAAAATAATCCCTGGCGAGAATGAGTGAGAATCTGGAAATCTGACGAAATTCATTATAGAAAAAAGGTGAGCACCATATCTGCCATTAAGTAATCCATAGCAAATATTTCAAATCAAATAATCATAATAGAGCATGTTCGGATACAGATATTTGGCTGAATTTTGCAATATTGGGGACTAACTTTTGTCAGAGTACAAGGACTGAAAGGTCCCTTTCTGACATTGTATTGAACCATCACTGTTATCCACAGACTACCTGTTTGGGGTACATCTTGATATCTCGGGTTTTATCTACTTATATACTACCTCACCATCAACATCACCTCCCCATCACTGTCAATGCTATGCTCTTGTTGCTGCCTATCTGGGGCTGCACCAGTCAACTGCACCTCCTCCTACACTGCACACCAAAGGCTTGTGTAGGGCTGCACACTGTACTGTATATGGTAGATGGTGAACCCGTTGTGCAAACACAACAATGGCTAGACACTTGTTAAAGTGCCTAACCAAAAATATTGTTGTAGGTTGATGCTCTGCCTAGCTGCTACACTTGCAAGCAAAAATGTTCGACCCTAAAGGGAATTGCTACTGAGAATGGCTGATGATACTAAGACCCAAAAGTGCACAGAGCACAGGAACAAGTGCACAGGGTACATAGAGTGCAGGAATGTGGAAGTGCAGTTGATGAGTGGTTAATGAGTGGTTAATGTGGGAGTGTGAGATGCTAGGGTAAGGGGTAGGGAAGTCTTAAGGAATGGCATGGGTAACAAGTGAGGGCAAGGGTATTGATTGCATGGTAAGGAAAGTCAAGACAAGGTGTCCAGGTATAAGGTAACCAATAGGGGCTAAAAGCGCGCACTAATGGTGACTGCTCCTAAGTAAAACCTAAGGGAAGGAAATACTGTAGAAGGGAAGTAAATATGAAGTAGTCACTCTAGGCACTTTATACTAGCTAAACCCTCTCGGAAATGGAAGGGACAGGACAGACAGGCAGTAGGAATATGTAAAGACATGTAATAAGACTGCAACACTTGTTACAACACATGAGGCAAGGAAAAATACGTACCAATGAGGTAGGATGGACAATGGACTGATGTGGGACATCTGTAAGGTAGTCTGAAGGCACAGGAAATTGACTGCAGGTATGCATGCAGTGTGGGAGTGAATGCGCAAGTCTGCAGAGTGCAGGAATATGCATCCGGAGCGGGTTGAGTGTGGGAAAAGCAGTTGATGGTTTTGTAGCTTTCCATCACCTATATCAAAAGATGGCCATTGCAAGCCTAGTGGGAATATGATCGTCACACCGTATACTGTACATGGTATTGGCAGTTGGTGAAGCAAACAGTATGGTATGGAGTATTATATGGATGTATGCAGTAGTGTACAGTACATATGGAATATACAGTGGCTCAAAAAAGTGTCTTGATGTTTGTGACTTTTCATGTAATTGCTATATTATGAGCCAGGGCATGAGAATATGACTAAGCCATAGGGAGGTGTTGGAAAGTTCTGCTTCTAAGCTTCATGTTTGATCCCTATAGCGTGGGAATATTATGTCATCAAGTGAAGATATGGTTAATTTAATTTGGTGACTCATTGAGACACTTTTTTGACTTTCAGTTTGGCCAACACAATCCCTATAATTCTAGTACTTGGTGCTCCCTCCTGTTGCTCTAATTACTTCTACCACTCTTCTATGCATGCTATCTATCAATTTGAGGCATTCCTCATCAACAATCTTGCCCCCACTCCACTGCAACTCTCTCCCACAGCTGAAATAGCCCCTATTATTATCCTCAGTTCTTCTAATCTGCATACCAGGCAGATTGCTACCAAAACTGGTCTGAACAGGGTTACTATCATTAGGATCATAAAAAAGTCATGCCAGATAAGAAAAATATCAAACTAGATTGTCCTTTCAAGCTTACACCATATAACAAAAAATCTCTTGTTCATAATATTCTAACTAGGCAGGCTGCCAATGCTGCTCAAGCCACCAAATTTATTAATTACATCATCTACACTGCTCTCTTCACTCAAATAGTCAAGAATACTCCTAAGGCAGCCAATCTTAAAGCTGTAAACAGGCAGAAAAGCCTTTCCTATCTTCAGTCTATAGAAGGAGGAGACCAGCCTTGGCTTTAAAGTCTCAATATTGGATTGTTGAGGACTGGAATAGGGCTACCTGGTCAGATGAGACAAAAATCGATAGGATAGGGTCAGATGGCTAGGAATATATGTGATGAAAGGCAGAAGAACTACTAGAACAAAAAAGTCAAGAATACACTAAAGTATGTAAAGTAGGAAACTTGATGGTATGGTGATGTATGAGGTGGAATGGAGTAGGAATTCTCTGTGAGGTGGGGGGGGAGGATGAATGCAGAGCAGCACATTTCAATTTTGGAAACTATCTGCTCAGAAGCATGCAAGAATCAAGAATTATTGAATAAGATGTTACCTTCTAACAAGACAATGTCCCTAAGCATACTTCAAGTTGACCATAAAATGGTTTGAAAACTATGGCATCAGTGTGCTATCATGGCAAGTCCAGTCCTCAGACCTCAACCCTATTGAACAGCCCTGGTAATTGCTCAAGATATCACTTGCAATCTATCAAGATCCTTGATAGGGGTTATTTCAGCTGTGGGAGAGAATTGTAGCAGAGTGGGGCAAGATTGTTGATGAGGAATGCCTCAAATTGATAGATAGCATGCATAGAAGAGTGGTAGAAGTAATTAGAGCAACAGGAGGGAGCACCAAGTACTAGAATTATAGGGATTGTGTTGGCCAAACTGAAAGTCAAAAAAGTGTCTCAATGAGTCACCAAATTAAATTAACCATATCTTCACTTGATGACATAATATTCCCACGCTATAGGGATCAAACATGAAGCTTAGAAGCAGAGCTTTCCCACACCTCCCTATGGCTTAGTCATATTCTCATGCCCTAGCTCATAATACAGCAATTACATGAAAAGTCACAAACATCAAGACACTTTTTTGAGCCACTGCAGAAGGTGTGTTCCTGAATGCAGTCACCAAGCACCTGCTTCACAATATGCAGACATGCTGACTACTGCTTGAACTAATCAGATTCACAGAGCAAGTTCTTACCAACCACAAGACCCAACTGCACTTTGACAGATATACCTCAGACTGGATCAACATTAACAATGGTATAGGGCAGGGCGACCTGCTTTCGATGATCTTGTACATTATTTACAGTGCTGACTTAGTAGACATTGCCAAGCCCACATGAGGATGTGCATCTCCTACAAAACTCACCCCTGCCTTTGTTGATGACATGGCCCTAGTGGCCATAGGTAAGGACTTCACAGAAACCCATCATATCCTTCAGGATATGCTAGAGTGCCCAGGTGGAGGCTTTGACTGGTGAAGGGACCATGACTTCCAGTTTAAGACTAACAAATTTGCCTTGATTGACTTTTCTATGAACAGGAAATGTGACCACCCAGCACTACACCTTTGTGGGGTCATCATCTGCCCATCTCCCACCCACTAATTCCTGGGCATCATCCTTGACCAAGAACTGAGGTGGAAGGCTTAAGTAGACAATGTGCTGACCAAGGGCCTAGCATATGTCCTGCAACTTCAATGTCTGTCCACTATGTCTAAAGGCATCCCATTCTGTCTCATGAGGCAACTTGACTTGGCCACAGCAGTTCCCAAGATGCTGTATGCAGCAGATTTATGGTTCATGCCAGCTTTTTGTGAAGGCACTAACACCCTACAGAGAGGATTGCTGGGAGTAGCCAAGAAACTTACCTCCATCCAATGCATTGCTACCATAGCCATGACTGGCACTATGAGAAGCACCACTACTGACATTGTTAAAGTGCATGCTAACCTTCTCCCCATGACTCTGCTGCTCCAGAATACTTGTTACCATGCCATGATCAGGATGGCTGCTTACCTGGACACCCATCCTCCCCACAATACAATCAGGACAGCAGCCAAGTGTTATGTATTGTCCTATCACTCCTCCCTCTATCACCTTACTCACTTCTACTGGATTAATCCCAATAAAATTGAAGCCCTCATCCTGGCTTGTCATGCTCCCACCTCCTCCTATCCATATGTCATGCACATTGCTAGCTCCCAAGAAGAGGCCATTGCCAAACATCAAGAATTGCAGGATGACATCCAAGTCTTCAGTGACAGCTCTGGACATAATGGCCACATCAGAGCAGCAGCAATACTATTTTGTGCAGGCCAGCACCCTTGCACCCTCTGCTACTATCTGGGCACTAAGGAGGAGCACACTGTTTTCAAAGCAGAGATGGTCAGTCTCACCTTGGCAGCCAGGCTCATAGCCACAGAACAGAATCCCACCTTCCAATTGTCTATCTTGGTCAACAATCAAGCTGCTATCCTATCTGGTAAGAGTTTCTAGTCCAATCTAGGCTCCTATCCAGCAACCAAGTTTCAGAGGATGATGAAAGGGCTCAAATGTACTAATCCAGACTTCAATGCTATGCTTCACTGGGTTCCTGGTCACAAGGGAGTTCATGGTAATGAGGAAGTGGACAAAGTAGCCAAAGTAGCAGTGGAAGGGAGCCACTGAAGCAGTCCCCATGTGCATCTCCCCCTTTACCTTTGTAACAGTTCACTACTGCTTAGCATTTTAGTAATCAAGTAAGCCCATAGGGCATATACAAGTGCCAGATGGGCCAAGCAGTGGTCTGCCTCCCCCTGTTATCTACATCTCCAGCATATAGACCCCCTTATTCTTGAATGCTCTTTCATCAATTTATGGACTCCTTCTCAAAATGTCTCAATAGTCTCATTCTCAGTCTATGCACCCATCACCTCTCCTTGAACCAGCACCTATTCTGACTTACAAAAGTAGCCTCACTGGACTGCCCTCACTGTCCACAAACTGAAGAAACCATCTATCACTACTTATTTGTGTGCCTGCAATATCAGCCAGAGCGCCATGTGCTAGCCCAGGCATTGGGATGGAAGGCCACTTCCCTATCACATCTATTGCCCAACCCTGCTGCCATCCCCCATCTAGTTCACTATATCAACAAGACCCATCACTTGAAGTCCATACTAGGTAAAATTCTGATGCCTACCACATGAACAGCCTGACACTCCCTACCCAGATTTCCTCCTAACATGAGCAAGACTCATATTGAACACAATCAAGACCATACTATATCATATAACAATCATATTCAGGCCACTCTAATAACTCCTTCTATTTGGTACCATACCTCTACCTAATCACACAACACCACTCATACACATGAGATCTCCAGCCCAGCCCTGGGAATTAAGTCAGTAGCAAATAGGAACACCCCCACTGACACACTGGGTACCCATCAACCTCCTCACCCAGCCATGGAGCATGCTCCTGCTTCCCAAGGACCACACCTATTATAATTCTACTGCATACCTCATTTATTAAAGGTTGAACTAAACAGAGAGTCTCAGCATCCAGGAAGAACTGCTTCAATATTAATAGTACCTAAACAGAGAGTCTAGAGATGAGACAAAGTGAGATGGAGTTGGTGTGTAAGAGAAAGACAAAACATACCTCAGCATCCAGGAAGAACTGCTGAGGTATGTACAAACATAGATGAGATGCTTTTAAGGTACATTATGTAAAATGTCCATGATAACATAGACAAAGAAAGAGATACAAGTGACAATGTTACATCTACAACATCATTGATCTCTGTTCAGTCCACACAAGTGGCTGAGCATGTGTTATAGCTTTCATGATAGACCTCTCACTACACAATTTTACATACAGTCACCCTCTAGTTATATACATCACCCATCTAAAATGGCTAGCAGGAACAGTGGACTGGTAGGGTATGCCTTACACCAGTGCATTTGGGGATGTGATGAAAGGGCAGAGCATGGGGCTCCCTGACTAGATAGTAGTGTCCTACATAGAGTATCACTCTCAATGGACATAAAACTGGAAAAAAACCCCATTGAACTCCCATCTGATAAATCCTTGACAGCATCTTCAAGAAAGAGGGAATCTCAAAAACAGGTGAGTTAAGGGAGTCAGTGGACTATCATAAGCTTAATGACAATGAATGCGCTGAATTAATCATTGTACAAAGCAATTTTTGCCCATCTCAAGCTCCCCAAACCCAGATTGCCTCTGCAGACAAAAATTATGCAGGTATAAGCAATGAGATTGGAACAAAGATTAGAAAGTCCCACCACCTATATCTGAACATGCCAGATAGCCTCCCAGGGCTAGATGGCATTGCAAAACACAGAAGTGTGAATGATATTGAAGTCTGCTTCCAAAGCCTGATGGCAAATGCAGATTACATAATATTAATTTTCAATATCACTGATCATAGCACAATGACAAAGATTACCACTCAAGGGAAATGTGAAGAAATTGAGAGATTTCTTGACAATATACTAAGATTACCCATAAAAATACACATCCAGAAATTGTATATGGAAATACAGACTTTACCTGGATTGCTGTTAGAATATGCAGAGCAATTCATGAACACTTCTTTCAAAATACCTATTCAAGGTACACATTGAGATCTTCTTTGAAACCTGTTGCTCAATAACAAGAATGATAAATGCTCATTATTGATCATTTCTGGGTTCAAGAAAGTGATACATTGAAGGCCCAGACATGGTGGGTGCCATAATATAAGCAATACAACATGAAAGAAGGACAGAAACTGCTCTCATTCATCTTCTCTATACACTATGGATTCAAGCTATAGTGATTTCCAGTTCCCTCCCAGTTTCATGGAACCAGGCAGTTATCTAGCAGCCCCTCATGACAGGAATATAGGAGTAACTCCATTGTATGCTCAGGCCCAAGGCTTGCTGCCAGCTATAGAAAAGCCTGGGGGGAGCACAAAGCTATCAAAAACTGCTGTAGTCTCAGCATTGGAAGCAGTGAAACAGTGAGTGACTGAACTAGAGAAACAACTTTCTCAGTGCCCCAGCCAGTATGATCTCATGGATGTTGTTACTCACCAGAACATTATGATCCAATCCATCCATGACTCATGTGAGAGGTGCCTCAAAGACATGCAACAAGATTTTAAGATGAAGCTGGCAGATGCATTGCAGATTATTACGAACTCAGGTAGAGCATCATTCCAATAAAGAAATCAGGATCAGGGTTGGTCAAGGACTAAGCCTTATTGAGTTCAATGCCTCCCTCAGGAGCAATTATCTAGACTCCCGCAGGATCTAGAGTTCAAATGGGACAATGGCTAGCCTCCTTCTCAAGGAGCTAGAGTTCAAGTATGAAAGAGAACTGAGTAGATTCAAGTTAGAGAAAATACAAGCAGTAACTAGGGTTTATATATGTAAGAGAATCATGCACAGACCAGGCTGGGCTAAGGGTAATGAATAATAGGAAAGGAAGGTTCATGGGAAAATGGAGTATGAGTTAGAGATAAGAGAGACCATGATGAAACAGCACAGTGAAAAGGAAGCATCAGAAGTACAGCCATAAGGTGTCCATAGTGATGATGAGAAAAAGAGTGGAGCACTGTAACATTACCCCCTGGTTAATGTCTGAAGTCACCAACTTCAATCACTAAGAGACTGATAGTTGTTAGGGTTGAAGTCAGTGTCTCTAGCAAACTGCTTCTCATGCTCCTCTTGCTCAAGATCTTTTCTATCTTCATAGATTTTTAGTTGGTAATGGAAGGCCCAAGAGCCAGGTTTGGCATTAATGATGCATCATCCTCTAAGAGTGAGACAATAGGCAGTGAGGTGTTTTGGAGCATGGTGATGGCATTCTCAGCAAAAGTAGCGAGGGCAATGGACCTGATGATGTCCTTCCTGCTGGCAGTATCGACAGGTGATGGTGGAATAGTTAACATCATTTCAGTCACGATAAGTTTCCTCAGATAGGGCATGAGAGTCAGAGGAGGACACAGGTTTGTCTTCATCAATGATGATGGGTGGAGCAGGGGATGGTATGATAGGACGAGAGAGGCCTATTCCAAAGGCGACAATGTTTCTTTTCTTTCAACAAGCACAATGTGGGTTTCTTGCAGAACAAACTGCAAGCTGAGAGGGAGCAGGAACAGGGGTGTCGTCAGAAGATTCCAATGGAGATCTAGGGACTTCTTGGGTGGAGAAGCAAAGGGGTTTGACAGAGACAGAGCATTCTAGTTTCACAATTTCAGAGATCATTTCTGGAGTGAGTGCTTGCTCAAACCCTCAATCTAAGAGTTGTTCAGTGGTGAGGGACTTGATCTTGGTCATATGATAAATAATGGAATACTTGGTGGTTTCTTCAGCAGGAGCTGCAATGGTATGGGCATAGCTAGATGCCAGGTCTGCACTGCAGTGAATGGTCATCAAGGAAAGAGAAACAATGTCTTCAGAAAAGAAAAGATCTAAAGGTAAAACACAAGGAAGAGAAGAAAGGGTTGATTCAACAAGGGCTCGCTTGTGGTGAAGTTCAAGCTGAGAGTGATGGAGTTCAAGAGGGGAGTTCAAGGATTGTGAAGAAGGCATATTCTGGGATCAGGTTTCTAGGTAAAGAGTCAAGAAAGTTGAAGATGGTTTTTATAGATTTTCAAGATTTCCTGGGTGTTGTCTAATTCCTTTTCAGGTTTCAGGGAGCCAAGAGTTATCTGAAGAAGGGTAATCCTTCCATGATATGAGGAAGCATCATTTTCCTTTTACGTTTCCCTTATGGGCGAGAATGGCTATCTCGTATTCTTCTTGTCCATTGATGATGTCAGGGGGTGGTTTGGTGTGGTTTGGGCCATGAACTTCTGTTTCCCAATAGGAGGATAACTCAGAAGCATGAAAGACAGGGTGTGATTTCCAGGAGGCAGGGAGTCAGATCTTGAATGTGATAGGGGAAAGGATGGCTTCTACTGTGAAGGGGCTGTAGCATTTAGGGGCAAGCTTCTTTGAGGGTAGTCCAGTGATGAGGTTCTTTGCTGATAGCCACACTTTCTCACTGATCTTCCAGGGTTCAAACTTCTTTCCAAAAGTCCAATCAGACATGCATTGCATGGTGAGATTGTGACAAGAGATAGCTTCTTCTCAGATCTTCTGAAGGTATTTGACTCAATCTTCTGCTGTAGGGATGGCGGAATTCAGGAGAATATAGGGGATTCCTCGGGGTTTGTAACCTATCATGAGGTGGAAAGGGAAGACATTGTGGGCATCATGCTTTCAGTGGTTGTGTATGAATTTAGCCATGGGCAGATGCTTTACCCAATTGAGAGGTGTAGAATGGCAGTAAATGTGAAGATAGGTTTCAAGTTCCTGATTTAGACGTTCAGTCTGTCCATCAGTTTGCAGGTGATAGGCAGTGGAAAGTGCAACTTCATAGTCAAGGAGTCTTCCAAGTTCTTTGGCAAATTTAGAGGCAAACTGGGGTCCTCTGTCAGAAATGATTTTGTCATAGAGTCCAAATCTAAGAAAGACTTTCTTGAAAAAGAGTTGGGCGACTCCTTCTGACATAATGGTTTTCTTGCATGGTGAGAGAATTACCCCCTTCATAAGGCCATGGTCTACCATGACCATAACCAAATCAAAACAGCCTGATTCAGGCAAGTCAGCAATCAGATTGATGGAGATCTGTGAGAAGGGGCAAAGTGCAGAGGAAGGGATAGGGTTCAGAGGTGGTGTGGGAGGATGGGTGTTGGATTTCATTTGCTGACATAGGGTGCAACCCTCAATGTATTTGCGGATAAATGTGCCCATTCTGGGCCACCAATAGTCATGTTTGACTAATTCTTCAGTTTTAAAGTGTCCTGGGTGACCAGCAGTGGGGTGATCATGGTGAAGGTGTAGAATGCGGTGATGTCAATGGATGGGGACATAAACATGGTTCTTATAAAACAGAGTGCTGTCATCAAACTTCCAATTGGAGAGGGCAGATTTCATAGGGGGTGCATTTAACCCATTAAGGGCTTGTTGCACAGCCAAAATGACAGGGTCAGAGAGAGGGTCTGTGGTTTTCAGGGCATTGGCAAGGTCATTATCAATGAGTCGGGAAAACATGGTATCAGGGAGAAGTGTGACATCAGAATTATCTGAGGGGTCAGAAGAATGATCAGGGCAGTGTGAGAGAGCATCAGGAGCAGCAAGTTTGCTTCCTT